GATTCAAATTCACCAATCATTCAATCAACAATATTTACATTTCCAAATATTTTTTCTTAATATTCTTTGCAAATTAGAATGCTGTTCATTTTCTCATGAACTACCATGGATGAGCATGAATATCTCAATTGTTACGTCATAATGCCGTACTTGACGTCAAAACTATAGTGCAAACTGTTTTGCTTTAAAAATGACAGTTGAATGGTGAAATTTGTGGTAACTCATCAGAAAAATAATGTAAATATAAGAAATGAATTTAATTTTTGAAGATTCATGAGGTACATGAACTACGACGCTTCACGCCGGCATATTTATCATGAAGCGCTAACGCGCTTCATGAAATATGCCGGCGTGAAGCGTCGTAGTTCATGTCCTCATGAATCTTCAAAAATTAAATTCATTTCTTAATTAATTGCTGAGTACCACGTACCTTAATCTCTCTGTGTACAGCCTCCACTTGATCTTTCTTCCTCATCATGTCGGACCATATTTTTTGCATCTCGTTTTTCTTTCTGGTGATGGTGTCCTAGGATAATATTATACGTTCAGTACGTTTTAAAGTTCATGCTTCTAATTCATTGTTCACAAAATGTACAATGTCATGAATCAGTGAGTACTACATACCATCAGCTCTCTATGGATATCCTGCATTAACTCCCTTTTTCGCATCATGTCGGCCTGTATTTTCTCATTTTCGCTTGACTTTCTGGCTGTAGTGTCCTACAATAAGTTTACATTGATTTCATATTGGTTACATTTAAGAAAAAATGCTTCTTATTCACTGTTCCTTAAATTTACATTAATAAGCGATTACTATACGTACCTTTAGCTCTCTGTGGATAGCCTCCATTTTATCTGTCTTCCTTGCCATGTCGGACCGTATTTTGCTCATCTCCTTTGACTTTCTGTTTATAATGTCCTATGAAAAGAATATAAGTAAATCATAATTTTACATTACTTGCCTATAAATTATAATCAACTATAATTTTGAACAGCTGATAATTTAGTTGATTCAAAGATTGATAAGGCGAATTAAACTGGAAAGGGGGTGGGTGGGGGTCCTTTATTTCTCAATGCATCCTTTTCATACTTTTAATATTTATAAATTATACATAAAACTCTTCGACTTTATTCTATTAATTTATTTCATCCAGGGTTGAGATATTAGATAATTCCAATTTTACTTACAATCATTTCTTGGTGAACTTTCTTCATAAGGGCTTTCACAATCTTCTTTCTTTCTCTGTCTTCTAACTCCATTGCCTTACACAAATAATTAAATACAAATATAAACAAGAATTCTAGACGCATTGATGCACATGAACAGTGCGTATTAATTTAATTATATTTCATAACAACAATATATCATAAACAGTAAAGTCCACATAATGATAAGAAATTAGCACCAATGGATAAATTAATTACCTCCAATCTCTCTTGTCTCTCTACCTCCTCAGCCCAGTTATAACTAAACTTTAAAATCTCCAGTTTGGTCTCCTGAAATAAGACAATTAATGACATCAGATATTTTAAGCACAAAACACTTTCAATTAATAAATAAAAAATTAGATAAATGACCAAAAAAGACCCGGAAATTAATGTCAATATGCATATTAGTATCAAACGTAAACTAAAGCTTTGGTATACGCTTACCCCTTTGTCACTGAAATCCAGTATTTCACTGTAGTCCATCATAAATGCTTCTGAATTCTACAAAAGAAATAGTAAAAATAGTGTTCATTGAGTTTTTATAACTGTAACTCAGAACTTTAATTCGTAAATCAACCAAATTAAGTAAATATTACAAAGCTGCAATTCACATACTGACCTGCTTTCTGCTTAGTTCCTTTGTTTATGGTGATGATTGTGACGTCAACTAAGCGTCAAATAGCTATGACGTCACAATCACGAAAGAGCAGACAACTTTCACTCATGTCCATTCATAAAAGTCCACATGAAAAAGGCCTTGTTAACGTGCAATTACATGTAAATATGTCCTGTCTCGTGACAAAAGTTCTTGTTAAAAAGCTAAGTATTCAGTGAGCCAATAATGAGCGGCTGATTTCTTCCATTAAAAGTTATTGACTTACTTGATTAAAACATATTTCTTATTACAATTTGACTCGTTGTGGACAATTTTATTTGAAAAAAAAATGTTACCTTCTGTGATGAAACCACAGGCGCCTGAAGTTCGGATCGATAGCCCCCCCTTTTTTTTAATTTAAAAAAATTGTAGAGCTTATGATTTCTCACAAATATACAATTTCCCCGTCAATCACATCCATATGTCGTTCTATGCAAGCAGATTGTACTTTTTTTTTTTTTACATTTAGAGAATGGCCCTGTACGGTATAATGAAAATACACGTGTATTTTTATTATACCTTACAGGGCCATTCTCTAAATGTAAAAAAAAGTACAGTAGTCTGCTTGCAAAGAACGACATATGGATGTGATTGACGGGGAAATTGTATATTTTTTTTTTAAATTAAAAGGGGGGGGGGGCTATCGATCCACACTTCAGGCGCCTGTGATGAAACCACGCCTTCGAGCGTGATAGAATGTAGCAACAGTCAACATTGATCGAGAAACCACGCCTTCCAGTGCGATAGAACGTAGCAACGGTCCACATTAATTGACGACGGGTGATATTCAAAAAAAAAAAAATACTGACTGCACAGAATTTATGTGCTAACGGTTCATTAAATATAACATTGCATGTAGTTGAGGGTAACAATAAACTTTATCATCCCTTGGAAACAGTTTTCAACTTCGGCTGCGCCTCCATTGATAACTTATGGTTTTGTTCAATGTTTGCCCTACATGTTAACTATACAGGCAGTTTTTATATAATGTTCAGAAGTATGGATTTTAGGTAATGCTACCATTTCAACAAGTGTTAAGTCTCCAAGCTGGTTTTAAGTCAACAAGATAATTCAGAGAATTTGTGTCCCCCGCTTAAGGATCTAGGGGATGGGGTCGGAACCCCCCTTGGATTTGCATAATTATTAAATGTATACATGTATACTGAAGCAAATAAAAATGCCAATATGGATACATAGATTTGATTGCTTATTCTTTAATATGTTTACAGAAGATTCTTTTTATATAAAATTTTTTATCACACTGTAATAATGATTTTATCAGAAGTTTGCACACGCCAGAGTCGACGTCGTAATTTCTTCATTTCATACGTTGAATAATGAATACTATCATTTCGTAAATCGACAAACAAACACTTAAAAAAAACACACAAAAAAACAACAACAAAAAAACAACAAAAAACGGATACGTCTGGGATTTGAAACCGGGACCTCTCATATGCTAATCAATAAACACACCCCTAGAACAACGAGGCGCTTGTTTGTGAAGCAAACACATAATATTTTTAGTCACGACTATTCTCTATTGAGAAGTTGATGGCTCGTTTTAATACTCCCCCTCAACTTTTTCAAACTGCGTTTGAACCCGGTTGACCTCTTAAAAAGTCCAAAACTATTCATTCGGATAAAAAATTTGAAATATTGTATAATCTTGGATACAAAGCATTATGGCTGACCCTGATATAATACAGAAGAAGGTGTAAAAATGTTTTCATAGTTGAAAACATTTTAGGATGGAATAGTGCATTTTATCGTGTTAACAAAGAAAGACCTATTGAAAATAATTATTGCAGTACATGTAATACTACATGTATCTACAATTCACAATTCAATGTTTAAATGACATTCAAAAGAATTAAAAGAATTAAAAAATAACCCAATGATCAAAAGAAATATGACATAAACAGGAGGGGGAAATGAGGAAAAAGTTTTAACATGTGCTTAAGAGCCCTCTATACACTGCACACTAAAGAGTTCTGATTTTGTGGTACTCTTATGCAAATAGAGTAATCTGTCCTTTCATCAAGAATAAAATAAATTGAATAGGGGACTATAGGTTTCCTCTGAATCCGTCCGTCCGTCTGTCTGTCTAGCTGTCCCTCTGTCACCCATTCCCACTTGGTTTTCCGCACTTTTTTCTAAACGCTTGCAGATGTTAAGCTGATTTTGGTATGTAAGTGTGTATTGATGAGTTACAGATCAAGTTTTTAATTTTGTTCCGCTTCATTGATTTTTGAGGAAATTACAACCTTTTTAATTTTTAAGGGTTTTCCGCACTTTTTTTCTAAACGTTTGCAGATATTGATTTGATTTTTGGTATGTGAGTGTATTTTGATGAGTTACAGATCAAGTTTGCATTATGTTCCGCTTCAATGATTTTTGACAGAATTACAGCATTTTCAATTTTTAATGGGAACCAGATTACACTTGCCGGTAGGGGACTAGTATAATTTAATTACAAATTACATTAATAATAATTTCATTTTTTTTATACATCACAAAGATATACAAAACTGATATCCGAGGAATGTATCATCTGACCTTAAATGGGGCATGACAAAGGCTTATATGGTTCGAGGTTGACTTTAATTTAGGGACAATCTTACCCCCCCCCTTCCTACAAGCAAAACCAATATATATATATATATATATATATATATATATATATATATATATATATATATATATATATATATATATATATATATATATCAGTCCAGGGGTTTCAAACTTCGATTTCCTACATTCTTGCTATGCATTTGTTGCACTCAATATTTGTGGCCCATGTTTTACTTTGCTAACTGGTCTTGAAAACCTACTATTTTCACTCTCATTCACTCTTTAAAGCATTACACGCCGTTTTGAGTTCGCTAGGGAAGAAGTTTCTGGTAAGTAAAATCTTGGTTACAATCTATTTCGTATGCATTCTCCAATTTTGTAAGAGATTCATAAGAATGTTACGCAAAATATGAAGGATTTTTGCGAAACGATAAAAAGGGTTACTGGCTCCTTTTCTGAATTTGGTTTAAATACTAACCTCACATCCTTTCATACACTTACAATACCAATACAATAAAGTTTTATGAATTATTATTTATCAATAAAACATGAGAATATAAACACATAAAAATAATTTATTGTTTCAGTTCTTTTACACGTGCTATGATGGTTTGTAATTTGTCCTCCATTTTGTTGACTAGTTCCCTGAGGTCTTCAGAGGGTATGGAGTCAGAGATAGGGTCTGTGTGAGCCAGCTGTAAAATATAAAGTAGACAAATACATTAGGACGAACTTGATTTACTTTCACCTTTTACACCATGTACACCTTTTTTAATATATTCGATCAGTGCATATTATCTATTCAAGATATATTACTAAAGTCAGGTACTCTTCACACAATTGCTCCGAAGAAAATAGTTCCATTCATGATCAGTAGATACAACATTACAACAAATGTTAAGAATAATGATGTATATTTAATACGTTAAAGAAAACAAAATTAACGTAAAAAGATTTTAAGAAAATCACTTTTCCCCAAATAAGGAAAAAAAAAGTTTTCATATTCCTACGCTCGCTGCCTCCTCAGTCTTTTTCACGAAAATATATAGGTCATCCTTCGATTGATAGTGATAAATCTTTTCACCAATTATATAACTGTCATGATTATTGTTCGTTAATTGCCGTATATTTTCTTTTGAGTGAGAATATTAATCATTAACTGTGTGTGTGTGTTTTTTTTCTCTTTTTTTAAATGACGGAATAGTTATTATGTGGTTAAACACCTGCAATCGTAACTTCTCGGCAAAGCAACGTGATTTGCCGTGATTTGCCGAGCTCGTCTGAAAGGATCTTCGCACGTGTGTAAACCTAGTCTATTTGGTCTTGCAAGCACAGGTATGTGCACCGTTCGCTAGTGACGCTTAGATCATGTAGACTGGGTATCAGTATTTGCTACGGACATGAAGAAGAACTATACACCAGTTTCATAACAAGTGCATAGACTGGGCTAGAGGGGCTGAGTTACCTAAAACGATGCTAGGTCATCTACTCAGTTTAAAACACGAAAATATACTATTTTTGTAAATGAAAACATTTCTAGAAACAAAAATGAAGTTTATCTTCAAAACGTCTCTATATTCAAAATCTATATAAAGTGTTAAATGTCGGATTTTATTCTATGACGAAGGAGTGATGCTCCACAGCCGCAACCGATCTCGCGCTTTGCTTTGCGTTTAACAACGGCCTTCAATGCATCTCTAGACGAGTTCATTGATTACTCTTGTTGACCCATTTTTAACATCTGCCTATACTTTGAGTGATAGTACTTTAATAGCACAAAATTAAAAGATAAATTAAAATCTATCCTTGATAGATCTATAGTTTTGCTATTTAAAAAATTGGGCTATCTTTGATCTTTGCTTGGACTTGTTTCGAATTTTTACAGAAGATTCTATTATTGGAAAGTTAGATATAGTACACATGTAGCACAGGCCCATAGTACGCGGGATTTTTTCGGAGCCCCCCCCCCCCCCTTCACTTTGAAAACGTTGCTACAGGCCTGTAACATGCTATTTGGATTAAATATTCCTGAAAATGAGTGAGTTGTTAAATACATCTTTAAAATTAAACGGTTAATTATATTTAGTCTATGTTCTATGTGAAATTAAAACTATTTTTATAGGCATATGCAACGTTGTGATAATAAAAGTCACTAATCGCATGTAACGTTATATACATGTATGTACATGCAGTTTCCTTAGTACATGCATATTTTATTCAACAAAAGATGTTGAAACTCAGTAGCCTAAATATTATGTCATTTTAGGTTATTTATGGCCATTGTATAGTTGACTTTCTACAGCTTGAGTATCTCTGACGTTTTATCAGTAAATAGTTTTTTTTTTTTAATTAGAAATCATCTGAGCACAATGAAAATTCGAATAAATTAAAAGTCGAATATCTTGGATATGGGGTAACCCATATCTATTCTTGTCAATCAAGTGCAGGGGTGTAGACTTTTGGGGTACACTCGGTGTACACTTTCTTACACCAAATTTAGGGCATGTGTTGAAAGGTGTACACTGAATCCAATATGGCGGAAATAGGTACGATCGAAATGATTTTATGTCCTGTAAAGGATAAGAAATCACATTCAAGTTGTCTTTTGTGTGTAAGTGATGACTTCGTAATTTTTTTTACCATAATGATTTTAAATAATTTAGTCAATTCTTATTGTATTTAAATTTTTTTCACTTTAAACCAAAAAAATATTATCCACACACTGGCGAGATGCAAAACATATACTACATCTTATACACTACATCTCGTAAAATGCACTTGATTATACACAACCACTTTTCAAACCGGTGTACACTGGTGTACACCAAGTTAAGCTAAATCAAGCATGCCCATATAGAAAGTTTACGAACAGAAAGTAGACAAATAGAAAGTAAACGAACAAAGAGTACGTAATCAACATAAATACATATACGTCTTATATGCTGTACATTGTATATTGATTGATAAATTACATCTGATATCCCAGCAGTAAAACATCTTGTATGCTATGTAGATCAATTACTTCACTAGCACTGAATTATGTTTATTTCATACAGGCAATATTTCAATATTGTAAAATCAAACATTTTCGTGCGGTCAATTTTTCATGTTGTGAGGAAAAAATACTATTAATTTAGTAGGGACTTAACTTCCAGGTTGAAGAAGTGTGGAGTTGTTGTATATACATAACTTTACATTTCATGGAGGATTTGAATTTGTTGGTCTCTTACATACATGTACCATGAAAACACCAAAATTAATCCCCCACAAAAATTAGTGATTTTCACAGAACCTTAATATATAAACTGTTTACAAAAATATGCAACAACCACAGGAATTTGAAAAAATCTGAGCAAAACCCAGAGGAATGTGGAACACACTACATGCTCAGATTCTGATAAAACCTTGTGTACAAAACAAGACGTACTATCAAAGCACCCCCCCCCCCCCCCAATGTCATGAAGGATCAGACTGCATACACCTAATCAATTTTTTATCTTAACTCCAAACTTTTTTTAAACAAACTTTCATCATCACATGGATCTTTATACCAACTAGATGTGTCTTTGAGAATGTGTTCATTTTTAAATATATGTATGTGTTAACAAACCTTGATTTTGGCCTGTACATTCTTTAGCATCATTTTAGCTGACTGGAGAAGGGGAAGCGATTCCTCTGTAGATCCACTGCTGAATCCTAGATATACTGTGGACAGGAAAAGTTAGGAAAAGTTAGGACTTAAAAAGAGGCCATGTTTTTACCATAAATTAATAGTTCTTCATACAACTGCTTTTCTCAACAGCTACTAATCAAAGTAAAGTTAGATGAGCTGCATTGAAAAGAATTATTCTGTTTTCAAGTTGATAGAGAAAAAACACAGACCCTGTTTTTATCCAGTTACACTCAGGACCACACATTAATGTATACAAATTCATCCCAAATTCTAAGTTAACTCACAATCAGCTAGTTCCAATGACTGCTCCCCTATATGTTTACATTTGTCTAATGACTTCTCCCAGTTCACTTCCTGTGTCAAACATCTTTGTGATTTCTGAAGATACTGCAAGACCTACAAAAAATAAGATGAAATGTTTTATTCAAACAAAACTTTTATTTATGCATGCATGCTATATAAATCCTCATAATTATTGAACACTCAAAATACAGAGTTCAGTGAAAAACTGATTTTGAATGTTACTTACTGGAAACATAAAATCGTTTTGTGTGTATATGAAATCAGATCAGTTCATGATGTCTATGTTAAAACCTTTTGTTTTGTATGTATATGAAATCAGATCACTTAATGTTGTCTGTGGTTGAACCTTTTGTTTTGTGTGTATATGAAATCAGATCAGTTCATGATGTCTGTGGTAAAACCTTTTGTGTTTATATGAAATCAGGTCAGTTCATGATGTCTATGGCAGAACCTTCTGTGTATATATGAAATCAGATCAGCTTATGATGTCTGTGGTAGAACCTTTTGTGTGTATATGAAATCAGATCAGCTCATGATGTCTGTGATAGAACCTTTTGTGTGTATATGAAATCAGATCAGTTCATGATGTCTATGGTAGAACCTTATGTTTTGTGTGTATATGAAATCAGATCAGTTCATGATGTCTATGTTAGAACCTTTTGTTTTGTGTGTATATGAAATCAGATCAGTTCATGATGTCTGTGGTAGAACCTTTTGTTTTGTGTTTATATGAAATCAGATCAGTTCATGATGTCTGTGGTTGAACCTTTTGTTTTGTGTGTATATGAAATCAGATCAGTTCATGATGTCTATGGTTGAACCTTTTGTGTGTATATGAAATCAGATCAGTTCATGATGTCTGTGGTAGAACCCTTTGTGTGTATATGAAATCAGATCAGTTCATGATGTCTATAGTAGAACCTTTTGTTTTGTGTGTATATGAAATCAGATCAGTTCATGATGTCTATGGTAGAACCTTTTGCTGTGTTTCAGGTGTCTGGTTCTCCAAACTGTTTGTCAGCTCAGAATACAACCTCCATATCTCCCCATTACTTGGCACCTGTCCAAAATGTATTATAATTACATGCAATACAATAATATATATATATATATATATATATAAAAAGCACTAAAAACCAACAACACTGTATATCCTAAGTGTCGGATCTACTAAGTAGATACAAGGTCACGGATGGAAATTTATATAAAGCACTAAAAAAGACCAACGACACGAACAATAATAATTGTCAAATTTTCGGGACAACCTGTCCCTTCCTCAGGACAAAGAAAAAAGTTAAGAAGTCATAAAAACAAAGGATTCCGAAATAGAGAAGCAAAAACAACTAGCACTACTACTAAACTACCAAACGCTAAATATTTACAATGTTACATGTTTAATTTTGAGTTTATAAACAGTTGTGAACAAAGAAATCCGGAGCGCTATGAATTGCGTCCGGTCTATCGGGTGTAGTCTGGTGAAGTGTGATTTACATAATTGAACGAATTAATTATCGCTAATTAATTACGGCCATCAGTAAATCGTACATTGTCTTATTCTCTCAAAATAGCGTAACTCTACATGATAAAAAGAAATTAAAGAAAGATAATATGGAAGGACAATTTAGAAATATAAATTTGGATATATTATGAATTTGGAAATTGGAAAAAAAGAAATAAACAAAAATGTGAGCTGTAAATATTTGGGTAGGTTGTTCCAGGATTACTAATACGAATTAACGGTAAAGTTTACACTATATAGAGAGAATGAACTTGTTTTTTACAATCCGGGATTGGGTCTAGTTCACGTTCATCCGGGTGAAGTCATTAAGTTTGTTAATACCATTAGGGCGGAATGACTTCAGCCTGTGCATCCAGAACTTTTCCTTGCCTTTTCTCTGCGCGTCTGTCCATCTTGGATTATGGTCAATAACCACTACTGTCATGTCCTCCCATTTGTGACCTTCAAGGTTGAAATGTTCCCCAACGGGTTCATTGAGTTTTTTGGTCCTAATGGTAGAACGGTGATTATTGACTCTCCTGCGGAGATCTCCTGTTTCACCAACATACTGTTTGGAGCAAACTTTGCAACTGATGAGATAAATGCAGTTGTCTGTTTGACAGGACAAATTCCCTAGTATTTTGTAGCTGCGGCCTGTAACGGGGCTGTTAAAACTGTCTGTGTCAGAGCTGTACTTACAGAGAAGACATCTTCTGTCAGAGCAAGTTTTAAAGCCCCCGTTAGGTAATGGATTGTCCAATCTGGTTCTTACTACCATGTCCTTCAGGTTCCTCGGGCGTCTGTATGCAGCCAATGGGGGCTCCTTAAAGACCTCTGCCATTCGTTTATTTGAGTGGAGAATTGGCAGATTCTTTTGAAGGATACCGCTGAGGTTCTTAAGGACGGGATGGTATGTGGTTACCAGAGGGACCCTGTCGCTATTGTCTTTTTCCTTGTAGCGTAATAGGTTTTGCCTGTCATGTCCCGCCATCTCATCAATAGCAGTTTGTACGGTGCGGGCATTGTAGCCTCTCTTGCATGAGTGGGACTTAAGGAGACCGCTTTGTTCTTGATATAAGGCAGGGGATGAACAGATGCGCCGAATTCTGGTGGCTAGACCCTTAGGCACCCCCTTAAATGTGTGTTGGGGATGACAGCTAGTCGGCATAAGATACAGATGGGAATCTGTGGGTTTCGTGTGGAGACTGAACTCGATTTCACCATCAGTCAGGGTAGATGTAGTATCTAGGAATATGTTTTTCGAATTAGATACGTCTACTGTAAATTTGATAGACTGATGAAAGGTGTTGGCAAACGAAATGAATGCCTCGAGGCTCTCGCGACATTCCACCCACTTCATCTCTATATCGTCAATGAAACGCAACCAGCTAAGGGGCCTAAATGGTGCTTGAAGTAGCAAGTTGCGTTCCAGTCTGCCCATGAAAATATTGGCATAAGATGGTGCCATTTTCGTACCCATAGCAGTGCCATTAACCTGCAGGTAATGTTCTCCATTAAACATGAAGTTGTTATACTTGAGAACATGTTCAAGGAGCTTGGCAAGGGACTCAGTAGAAGGAATTTGTATGGATCTACTATCCCAGACTTCTCTACAGGCTTCGATACCCTCATCGTGCGGAATATTTGTGTACAAAGATGTGACGTCCATAGTCACGAGAAGGGTATGATCTGGAAGGCCAGTAGAGGGCGTCTTGTTAATGTAGTCCGTGGTGTCCTTGAGATAGGATGGCAAATTCTCTACGTGTGGACGGAGATGTAAATCGATGTATTCAGAAATTTTCTCTGTGGGGTGTCCAATAGCGCTAACTATAGGGCGACCTGGCATACCTTCTTTGTGTATCTTAGGAAGCAGATAAAATTGTCCTGGTCTACAGTCAATAGGATTGAGTGTCTCATAGACGTTGATACCAATCTCGTTTTTCTCAAACATTTCGTCAAGAGTTTTGGTGATGGCGGTGGAGAATTCTTTAGTGGGGTCAGAGTCCAGTTTCTTATAGAAACGTTCGTCTGAGAGTTGTCTATGGGCCTCCGCCATGTACGTCTCTTTGTCAAGCACTACTACTGTAGAGCCTTTGTCTGCTTTCTTGATTACAATGTCATCCCGATTCTTTAATGATTGTAAGGCGGATCTCTCTTCCTTACTCAAATTGTCGGGAGCCTTGTCTGGCATTGAAAGGAGTTTCTCTATGTCTGACTCAACGGCGTCAATATACGACTCAAGAGCTCCGCATTTGCCCGGTGCAGGTTCCCAGTCACTTTTTGGCCGATAAAGTTTGTGTTCCTCTAGGTCGTGCAATTGTGGCTGAGAAGAGTCATATGAGTCAACTTCGGAGTTTTTTCTAGAAAAATGCTCCTTCAACCGAAGTCTCCAAAAGAAAGCTCGGGTGTCCTCTCTGACTTGTTCGTCGACCTCATGTGGCGTGGGACATGAACCTGAAGGACATGGTAGTAAGAACCAGATTGGACAATCCATTACCTAACGGGGGCTTTAAAACTTGCTCTGACAGAAGATGTCTTCTCTGTAAGTACAGCTCTGACACAGACAGTTTTAACAGCCCCGTTACAGGCCGCAGCTACAAAATACTAGGAATTTGTCCTGTCAAACAGACAACTGCATTTATCTCATCAGTTGCAAAGTTTGCTCCAAACAGTATGTTGGTGAAACAGGAGATCTCCGCAGGAGAGTCAATAATCACCGTTCTACCATTAGGACCAAAAAACTCAATGAACCCGTTGGGGAACATTTCAACCTTGAAGGTCACAAATGGGAGGACATGACAGTAGTGGTTATTGACCATAATCAAAGATGGACAGACGCGCAGAGAAAAGGCAAGGAAAAGTTCTGGATGCACAGGCTGAAGTCATTCCACCCTAATGGTATTAACAAACTTAATGACTTCACCAGGATGAACGTGAACTAGACCCAATCCCGGATTGTAACAAACAAGTTCATTCTCTCAATATAGTGTAAACTTTACCGTTAATTCGTATTAGTAATCCTGGAACAACCTACCCAAATATTTACAGCTCACATTTTTATTTATTTCTTTTTTTCCGATTTCCAAATTTATAATATATCCAAATTCATATTTCTAAATTGTCCTTCCATATTATCTTTCTTTAATTTCTTTTTATCATGTAGAGTCACACTATTTTGAGAGAATAAGACAATGTACGATTTACTGATGGCCGTAATTAATTAGCGATAATTAATTCGTTCAATTATGTAAATCACACTTCACCAGACTACACCCGATAGACCGGACGCAATTCATAGCGCTCCGGATTTCTTTGTTCACAACTGTTTATAAACTCAAAATTAAACATGTAACATTGTAAATATTTAGTGTTTGGTAGTTTAGTAGTAGTGCTAGTTGTTTTTGCTTCTCTATTTCCTTTGTTTTTATGACTTCTTAACTTTTTTCTTTGTCCTGAGGAAGGGACAGGTTGTCCCGAAAATTTGACAATTATTATTGTTCGTGTCGTTGGTCTTTTTTAGTGCTTTATATATATATATATATATATATATATATATATATATATATATATGTTGCTAATTTTATTGTAAATGATGCAATTGAAATCAATTTTTTTTAATATCAAGAAATTGTAAACTTTCTATGATGTTCTAAATATTTTTCCTTTCTGCAACAATCCTAAACAAGAGGCCCAAGGGCCTTGAATCGCTCTTCTGATAAACTGTACAACCTTTCACTACTATTTGAAGCCTCAAAGTATCCTGTATATTTAGATAAAACCTTGAAATTCCAAAGGTAGGACATCATGAGCTACATTTTAGATAAAACACTCTTGAGAACCCAGGATGATTCAATTGGCCAATTAGTACCTGAGAGTAGGTCATGGTGACCTACTTATCACTTGTCATTCTCTGAGGACCCAAGATGCATCAACTAAGTTTGATGATTCTAAGCCAATTAATACCTAAAATAAAGTAGGTCACAGTGACCTACTTTTCAGATGACATACTTTGAGGACCCAAGATGCATCAAATGACAAAGTTTGATGATTCTACGCCAATAAGTACCTGATATATTTAAATAAAGCCATAAAATTTCAAAAATAGGTCACAGTGACCTCCATATCAGTCGACTAACTCTGCAGACCCAAGATGCATCAACTGACAAAGTTTGATGATTCTAAGCCAATTAGTACCTGAAATATTCAATTATAATCATATAAATTGAAAAGTAGGTCACAGTGACCTACTCTTCAGTCGACCTACTCCAAGGACCCGAGATATATCAACTGACAAATTTTGATGATACCAAGCCAGTTAGTACCCCAAATATTTAATTAAAGCCATAAATTTTCAAAAGTAGTCAATGGTGACCTACTTTTTAGTCGACTTACACCAAAGACCTAAGATGCATCAACTGACAAAATTTGATGTTTCTAAGCCAATTAGTACCCGAAATATTTAGTTATAGTCATATAAATTGAAAAGTAGGTCACAGTGACCTAATTTTCAGTCGACCTACTCCAAGTACCCAAGATGCATCAACTGACAAATTTTGATGATTCTAAGCCAAATGGTACATGAAAAATATTAAATCCAGCTAGAAAATTCCTAAAGTAGGTCACAATGACCTACTTTTCAGTTCTTGTACTCCGAGGACCCAAGATGCATCAACTGGCAAAGTTTGATAATTCTAAGCCAATTAGTACCTGAAATAAATAATTAAAGCCATAAATTTTCAAAAGTAGGTCATGGTGACCTACTTTTCAGTCATCCTACTCCGAAGACCCAAGATGCATCAACTGACAAGGTTTGATGATTCTAAGCCAATTAGTACCTGAAATATTCAATTATAGTAATTTAAATTGAAAAGTAGGTCACGGTGACCTACTTTTCAGTTGACATTTTTTGAGGACCCAAGATGCATCAATTTCCTAAGTTTTATGTTCATAGGCCTTAAAATATCCAAATTATGCCTCTAAAAAGCTTTGAAATGGAATGCCTGCAAAGTTCAAAAAGTAGGTCACAGTGACCTACTTTTTAATAAATATGTTTTTTGGCCCCAAGATGCATCATCTTACAAGATTTAATGATTCTAAACCCCTCAGTATTCAAATAAATGACATTAATTGTTTTGAAAAAGATTGGCCATAAAATTCAAAAAGTAGGCCAAGGGGACCTACTTTTTAGTCGACGTACTCCGAGGACCCAAGATACATCAACTGACAAAGTTGGTCACCTACTTTTTAGTCGACATACTTCGAGAAACCAAGACACATCAACTGACAAAGTTTGATGATCATAGGCCTTAAATTGTTTAAAATATGCCTCTAAATTATTTTGAAAAAGAATGGCCGTAAAATTTAAAAAGTAGGTCACTGTGACCTACTTTTGAGTCAACATGATATGAGGTCCTTAGATGCATCAACTGACAAGATTTGATGATCCTAGTCCTTATAGTAAACAAAATATCAACATTTTAACATCTTTGAAGTAACCTTGAGACCATTCCCTTTGCCCCAGGGTGATGCCTTGAACAATTTTTAATCTTCAACATATCCTCATCCTTTTGTGTAAGTTTGGTGATAATCTGCCCAGTGGTTCGAGAAGAAGATTTTTTAGCAACCAGTTCTTTTGTTTCTATTTTCCTAATTATCTCCACTTGTTTAAGAGTCACAACCCTTGTTTTAGTATAAACGGGAGCCCTTGGGCAAAAGATGCCCTGTGACAAATTTGACAAGAATTGGCCAAGGGGTTCTTGAGTTATGGCCCATATTCTAAAAAGTTTACACACACCGCACAAATGGCCATAGCATTAGCTCTTTGAGCCTTTGGCTCAGAAGAGCTAAAAATCTATACAACTTTTTATAGCACATTATTGTGAAACTTTGAATGAAAAATTAAAATCTTTGGGGTTAAAGTTATTCATTTTACATACATAAACAGACTTGAATTGTTATTTTCAAGATTTTTGAAAAAAGTTTGTTTGAATCATCTGTCTTAAGCTCTATTTACACACGTATATAAGCTATGTTGATTGCTACATAAAAGGTTATAAACTACTTCATATTTTTCATGTTCTAGATAAAACCCTGTCTCTTACTTTGGCTGTTATTCTGCCAAACAGTTCAAGTAGCCTGGTTTTATATTGACTGGTAGGATTGCCCTGAGGATCCCTGTATTCCCCTGTTACACCCTTCACTAGAACTGCTAGAACCTACAGATCAGAAATGCATGTGAAAGAACAAAAATTAACCACTTTCTCTCCCATTCAATAGAAACAAGTTTACCTTTTCCTCTCCAAGAAACTGATAACATTAAGGTTCAATGACCCTCTGACAAGAAAGATAACTCAGTTGAATATTTTTTTATTCTTTTATATGATTGTCAAGTTCAAAGGTAATTTTTGTTCAAAGTTTGACCTGCAAAGTATGCTGAACTGTGTACATTTTAAAAATAAATTGAATTTCTTTCGAAAAATCATTAGAGCTATTAAAGCAAAATTTTATATAAGTGAACAGAGGAATGAAGTACCATGAAATATGTTGACATTTTAAATTCCATTGAAAACTAATTGTGAAAATATAATTACCCACCTCTACATCCGTCCATTTTTCTTTAAGATCAATCAGGCGATGATACGCCCGAATGGCCTCCTCAAACTCCCCACAGTCTGTGGCAACCTTTACACAAAAAATAACATAGTTTATCCAATAAAGCATTTACACATGTATATTTTAACCACATTATTTAGTACAAAACTCTAGAACACCCATCTTTAAAGATACATGTACCATCTTTTTTAAAACACAAATATGAGATATATTTCAGTCAGAAGTTAAACCTTTTGTATTTTATTATAGAAGGTCGATCAAGTCCCACTCTGAAATGATCTTATACTAACCACTAGTAAATTTTCCCACACTCTCCAATTTTCATAGTTGCATTTAATGGACTCCTTCAGGGTCAGTAGGGCCTTTTTCCTGGTATCCAAAAAAGTTAAAGAGATCAATTTAATTATGATACAAATTCAATGAATGCTCTGTGGAAACAACAAATTTCAACGTTTGTCTCTTACTTGTCTTTCAGTTGAACATAAGCTGAGGCCATGTTATTCCAGGCTTCAAAATTCTGAAATTTAAGTTTTCTTTTTTAGAATGCATAAAAAAAGCTTTAAAAGGTTCTCTTTAACTCTGAACATGGAAATTTACAAGGTATTAATTTACACTAAATGCACAGAAAGAATTCTCTCATAAATCACCTCAAATAAAATGATCTTTGCAATGAATTAGCAAAATTAACAAAACACTTTATATACATATCTAAAGTATTCTATTTTTTGAAGTGAATTTCAAATTATCTTTTATTTGTCAACCTTACATCTGTATCAATGTTAACACATCGTTTGAAAGCTCTCACTGCTTCCTCAAACTTCTTGGCCGCCATACAGGCACAGCCGAGAGTGAACCACACGGGCACCTGGGAAATAAAATAGTAATAGAGTCAGCTGTTGTGCCTATTGACATGCACATGTAAAGATATATATATTGGTGCTTAATCGAAAAGCCTCTGTTTAAAAATATTGAACTCCTTATACATCTAAATCATAACCGTGTGCATGTTATCAAGACAATTATTACGAGACTTTAATCACAAAATATATTAAGAATTAGCCAAAAGTTTCCCAAATCTCTAACAAGTACACATATCTAATCTATAGGAGGTCATAAAAATCTCATATTTCTATTATATTAGAATATCTTATGAATAATTATTTACAACAAAAAAATAATACAAGTACCTTTATAAAACAGTGATATTACAGAGTTATCATAGTTATAAGATTTTTGACAGAAGGACTACAGTTTTCACTGACCTGGAGTGAGTTGATGCTTAGCGATTTCTGGAAACACTCGATACACTTCTCATACTGTAATAATAAACAATCTGTCTATTTAACACAGTGTGGTCCTAATCTCCCCCTTCTCTCTCTCTCTTTCTCTCTCTCTCTCTCAAATTAATCAGATCAGTTATAAAGATGAAGACAGTTCTTACTGTGTAACAAACATTTAACATCAAACTCATTAATATAGTACAAGTATACTAGAGGTACTATGAGCGAGCTCACCCACCACGTGCAATTTTTATAAAGTGCCCATTAAAACTTACAAGAGGCCCATGGGCCACATCGCTCACCTGAGCACATTGGCTAGGCAAAAGCACAAATCAGTTCACTATTGAAAAGATTATGGGGGTGGGGGGAGGGGGGGCTTGGGCTTGAATTTTAAACTACCTGATGATGCTTCCATGTCAGTATAACAAATGGCTTTGTAATGGCTTTGTTGTACTTGAGAAGAACTTGAAAGTTTTCCCATATATTCCTTTGTAAAAATTTGATCCCCCACTGTGGCTCCTCCCTATCCCAGAGGTCATCATTTTAAAAAACTTGAATCTACACTACCTGAGGATGCTTCCATATCAGAATGACTAATCATGGCTTTGCCGTTCTTCTTCAGAATATATTTTCCTATATATTTCTATTTAAGACTTTGATCCTCCATTGTGGCCCCACCCTACCCCAGGGGGTCATGATTTGAACAAACTTGAATTTACACTACCTGAGGATACTTCCATATAAATATGACCAATCAGGGCTTTGCTGTTCATGAGAAGAACATTTTTAAAGATTTTTCCTATATATTCCTATGTAAAACTTTGATCCTCCATTGTGGCCCCGCCCTACCCCGGGGGGTCATGATTTGAACAAACTTGAATCTATACTACCTGAGGATGCTTCCATATAAATATAACCAATCAGGGCTTTGCTGTTCTTGAGAAGAAGATTTTTCCTATATATTTCTATGTAAAACTTTAATCCTCCATTGTGGCCCCACCCTACCCCCAGGGGTCATGATTTGAACAAACTTGAATCTACACTACCTGAGGATGCTTCCATATAAATATGACCAATCAGGACTTTGCTGTTCTTGAGAAGAAGATTTTTAAAGATTTTTCCTATATATTCCTATGTAAAACTTTGATCCTCCATTGTGGCCCCGCCCTACCCCCGGGGGTCATGATTTCAACAAAATGAATCTACACTACCTGAGGATGCTTCCATATAAATATGACCAATCAGGGCTTTGCTGTTCTTGAGAAGAAGATTTTTAAAGATTTTTCCTATATATTTCTATGTAAAACTTTGATCCTCCATTGTGGCCCCGCCCTACCCCCAGGGGTCATGATTTGAACAAACTTGAATCTACACTACCTGAGGATGCTTCCATATAAATATGACTCATCAGGGCTTTGCTGTTCTTGAGAAGAAGATTTTTAAAGATTTTTCCTATATATTCCTATGTAAAACTTTGATCCTCCATTGTGGCCCCGCCCTACCCTCAGGGGTCATGATTTGAACAAACTTGAATCTACACTACCTGAGGATGCTTCCATATAAATATGACCAATCAGGGCCTTGCTGTTCTTGAGAAGAACATTTTTAAAGATTTTTCCTATATATTTCTATGTAAAACTTTGATCCTCCATTGTGGCCCCGCCCTACACCCGGGGGTCATGATTTGAACAAACTTAAATCTACACTACCTGAGGATGCTTCCACATGAGTTTCATCTTCCCTGGCTCTGTGGTTCTTGAGAAGAAGATTTTTTAAAGATGCCATTAATTTTTCACTAATTCTTTATTATCTCCCTTGAAAGAGGGCATGGCCCTTCATTTGAACAAACTTGAATCCCCTTTACCCAAGGATACTTTGTGGCAAGTTTGGTTGAAATTGGCCCAGTGGTTCTTGAGAAGAAGTCGAAAATGTGAAAAGTTTACAGATGGACGGACAGACAGACGGACAGACGGACAACAGACAAAATGTGCTCTGAAAAGCTCACTTGAGCCTTCGGCTCAGGTGAGCTAAAAACTGTCAATGACCTTGAACTTGCCAAAATGACCTTGGGTCAAGGTCATGACACATCTTTGCATCATACACAATAGCTGTACCAAGTATGAGCTTCCATTACAAAGTCATAGTTATATCCTGAACAAGAATTTTATACTTTTTCTGCTGGTGACCTTGCAATTGCAAGAATGAACTTCGTTCAAGGTCAAGACATATTCTTGCGTGATAAAGCGATTCCTGTACCAAATATGATCTCTCAGTGATTACAAAGTTATAGCCCATACAAAATTGCATGGACAGACAGACAGCTAGACAAGATGATTCTTCAATACCCCAAAACTTCATTTGAGAGAGTATAATAATGTCACTAAATGATGACTCATGTGAGTGAAATAATTTTTTGACTACATTCAATCATATCACTAAACTCCCTCTTTTACCTCTTCTTGTGCCATATAGAGGTACCCCATACACCTCTGAGATCGTGTGTGTTTGTGTCCAGACATTTCCCAGGCTTTAATGTAGTGATTAACGTCACGTGTTACATCACCAAGGAAACACCACAAGTTTGGAGTCTCCTGTATCGCCAGCTGATCACGAATCAAAGTCTCAGCCTGATAGAATAGAAATCAGTGTATAAAACAAAGTACATTCTTTATCTTCAATTCATTCCTTTAACTCAAATTGTTGTTTGTTTTTTTCATAGATCAGGTAATTTTTTTATTTTAACAGAAACTACAATAAATATAAAAACACAAAATACATTACTTTCATCACATATACAAATAAAAATTTAACCTTTTCCATTTTGCCCAGCCTTTTGTAGCAGGTGATGACATCTTCCCATAACTGTAGTCTTTCAAACACCTCTAGAGCACCACCGATGGCCCCAATACTTAATAGCAGCTCAGCTAGTTGTCTCTGTTAATATAAAAATAACTTTAGTCTCTCAAAAACCCCAGAGCACCACCGATGGCCCCGATACTTAATAACAGTTCAGCTAGTTGTCTCTGTTAAAATGAAACAACTGTTATAGTCCCTCAAATACAATGATAGCCAAGGTACTTAAAAACAACTCAACAAGCTGTCTCTAAGAATAAGCAAGAGGCCCATGGACCATTATGCTCACCTGTTCTTCATCAGAAGATTTTTTTTCCTCATATATTACTATGTAAAACTTTGATTTCCCATTGTGGTTGGTCCCCATCCTACCCCAAAGGATCATGATTTAACCAAATTTGAATCTACACCACCTGAGAATGTTTACATGTAAATATGACTAGTTTTTCCTGTTCTTGAGAATATTTTTCCTCCTATGTAAAACTTAGATCGCCCAAAGTGGCCCCAGGGGTCCTGATTTGAACAAATTTGAATGTACACTACTTGAGAATGCTTCAATATAAATATGACAAATTATTACTTTGCTGTTCTGGGGAAGAAGATTTTGAAAGATTTTTTCCTACATGTTAAACTTTTATATCTGTGTATTTGCTGCACCATTATAATATCTGTGCTGCTGTAGAAGCAAAGAAGATAAAATTCTTGCAAAATATTTTTTTTCTTTTTAATGCAGGTATTTATGTTTACACAATGGATTTACTGTGTTCCTCGAATGAAGTTTGGTAACATATTGTTTTATTTTCTAGTGTGTTGAATTAAAACATGTAAAATAGAAAAAAAATACAATGATAATTGAATTCACATGAAATAATCTACATGTATTTATTTAAAAAAAAAGGTGCAATGTAAAGCGCAATTTAAATCCCCTTCTAGACAAGGAAGTAAAATCATCTGACAGGTAGATACATGTAACACAGGTAAGTGGGTCACATGATCTGAGTTCACACTAGAAATCAACAGACAGGACGACCGCCATTACTGAAGTCAGGTAATAAACATAGGAGGAACTGGAGCATGTTTTTAATTCTGGAAACCATTTAAAAATCCTTGAAAATTCGATACTGTAAACTTCAACCTGAGAACAAAATTTCTTTCACAAAGATTTAATGAATGTTGTATTTAATGTTTTGTTTATCATCATCTGTATATCTGCAAAAACTTGTTTGTTTAATGGTCTCAGGTATACACAGGGCTCAACATTAACTTTTGTCCGATTACCCGTGTCCAGTTCATTTTGTGATTGGACAAATCAGTCTCCAGACACACTTGTCGGGTTAGGAAAGTTATGTGGAATATTGTGAATGTGAAAAAAATCCCTGCAGAATCCATTAAACACTGATTATTTTTTTTAAATTGCTTGCAAACAACAAATATGGAATGATATGATATTAAGGTCTCAATCGCACCTCATCAGATATTTTACCGGAGACGCAGTACAGTTAAGGTGCGAAATATCGGCAATTTTTTATGATGGCGATTCTTTCTCATGTTTTTAGTACTTTATTAATATCGGACAAATGTAATTATGGTTATTAACTACATATTGAGGATGATTAGATTTTTTATTTAGACTTGTTATGTGATATGGCAGTCACATGATTTTAGCACATATCCTTGCAGTATTGATGTCACCTATAAATTTCAATAGTGCAAGGGCATAACCAAGTTAAAATTTGAAGTTTAGTTTTTAAATCGTTTCAACACCCATTGTTATTTGTGAATAGTGCTGCGATCCTATATAAATTCTACTATTTCATTGTTAAAATCATATTTGCATGAACGCATACTGAATATTTTGCTGGTCAGCTTCATTAAATATAGAAATAATTAATTCAGTTTCAAGATTTTAACAACACTTTTCAAATAGCTTAATACTTCTAAAGTTTATGATTAAAACTTGTCATGGTCCATTTAGGGTATGCCCTTGCACTAGATCGATTTATTAGGACCCTTAGACTATCCTCCCATGTACCTGCATACAAATATACGACAGTATTCGTTAATAAGGACATGTACGGAAAATATATGAACAAAATCATAAAAAGGACATTGCATCCAAATTAATGACCTCTTAAAATTCTGCAAATAATATTTTATTTAGGCCTTGATTATAAAGTACATTTCTTCGTTGTGAAAATATTACTTGATCTGCTCTCACTGCATACAAACTGCGTCAAGTTTTACGGAATGATGTCATATCGACAAGTGCAGTGCAATCAGTGACTTGTTTAAACCTTGCTACGTGGGAATTAACTAACGACAAAAACGCATGTTATAGTAAGTTTTGATGTAGTTTATTTCCTACAGTTTAAAATCGCAGATCACTTCATTTTGTTGCATTTTTAAGGATTGTTAGTTTTGTTTGATGTCATAGTTAATATTTCCCGTAAAAATTAGGCCCCGCCTCATTTTCATAGCCTTAGGATGATGGTGATTGATGCAGGACTAGGTTTTAGACAGTGTAGCTGTATTTTATATCAGTACTGATTTTTTTTTTTTTGTGATTATACAAATCTAATACTCATCTTGAAGATTAAGTTAGATACTAATTTCTTTAGATCTGTACAGAGTTGGACAAGTATAAAATGATATGTGGTACTCTTATCTGACAAAACTTTTGTTCCCCCTGAAACCCAGTCATTAAATGTATAATCATTAATGTTTAACTTTTTTATGTTTCACTACAGTCACAAAATCTAAAGATGGACCCCCGTACCAGTGCCCAAGACGTGATGCGATGTGACCTGTGTGAGACCGCTGTGGTACAGATGCACTGTGATACATGTCTCGTCAATCTGTGTACAGCTTGTGTAGGAAAACACATGATATCTGATGAATCCAAGGACCACAAAGTTGTCAAATTTCAGTCAAGGAAATCCACCCCTCTCTACCCTGGATGTACAACTCATAACAAAGAACGATGTAAAATGTTCTGTAAACAATGTGACATTCCTGTCTGCATCAGCTGCATTGAATCTAATCGTCATTTAGGTCATGAATTATCTAAAATCTTGCGAGTTCTGGATGAAAAGAAGGACATTTTTATAAAAGAACGAAATGAATTAAATGATACAGTTTATCCCACCTACCAGGACATTGCCTCTGATGTACAAAACAGAATGAGTCAGTTAGAAAAGGAATATGGAGATCTCTCAACAGCCATAACAAAACATGGAGAGGACTGGCACAGAGAAATTGACAAACTTGTCAAGAAACTTAAAGCTGAAGTTGATGAGATGAAAAACACACAGTTACAAACTCTACAGAAACATCTGGATGAAATTAACAAGACAATGTCTGACATCAAGGATGAAATCAATTCAACTGAAACTGCAATAGACACCAATGACATGTCTAAACTGTTTAGTGTAACATCCAAAGTACACATATACAAAAATCTTCCACATAAGATTGTGCCATCTTTACCCAAATTCATTTCAGGAAAAATTCAAGGAGAAGAACTAAGTAAAATGTTTGGAACCTTATCATCAAGTTCTTTGACTTCAGATAAACATGGCTACAGCATGAAGACAACACAGAAACCACCAGAAGCTGGATCCTCTCCTCCAGTCAAACAACTGCTTGATGAACCAGAGACTGTCACCATCATAGACACTGGGTATGAATACCTTTTCCATGTAGCCTGTCTGAGTGATGAAGAAATCTGGACAAGTGGAGGTGACAGCATGATGAAACTCTTCAGCATCAATCAGGGATCACTACTCAAGTCAATCACAACCAAGTCAGGGAACATGCCATTTGACATAGCAGTGACAAAAAGTGGAGATCTAGTTTATACTGATTACAATGATAGAACTGTGAACATTGTGAAGAATGAGAAGATAGAGGAGGTGATCAGACTACAGAACTGGAGACCTCGTGGTGTCTGTAATACCTCCTCTGGTGACCTCCTGGTTATCATGTACAGTGATGATTACAAACAAACAAAAGTTGTCTGTTACTCTGGCTCCACAGAGAAACAAACCATTCAGCTTGATGATAAAGGTAAATATAAAGGTAAACCTCTCTATTCATCTGGTCATTACAACAGATACATAACTGAGAACAGGAACCTGGATATCTGTGTGTCTGACAATAGAGCTAAAGCAGTAGTGGTGGTCAATCAGGCCGGGAAACTGAGATTCAGGTACACTGGACATACTCCTGATCCAAAGAACAAACCATTTTATCCAGTAGGAATCACCACAGACAGTCAGAGTCACATCCTTACAGCTGATTCTTACAATGACTGTGTCCACATCATATACCAGGATGGACATTTCCTCCGTTACATAGACTGTGGACTGAGTGAACCCCAGGGACTGTGTATAGATACAAATGACAATCTGTTTGTTGCTCAATTCAAGAACAAAAAAGTGAAGGAAATCAAATATCTGCAGTGAAATGCATCACTATGTTGTATTCTATATAATTTTAAAAAAAAAGAGGTACGCAAAATTACTGATACATGTATATAAGCATACTGCTCTCTACTGACTACTATTTAGGCATAGTGCATGCAAAGTACAACACTATTGTTATTATTATGCTGACTGTTGTATAAAAACGACAATATTTTCTCAATTTCCAATGTTTCATCACCTCTTACATTCATCTTAGTACACCCCTATTATGACCTCACGTTGTGCTACATGTACATCATAATCTTTTTTCTTCAATTTTGAATGTTCCATGTACAGATAGTTCCAGAGAATTTTAGTTGTGTGAAGGGTAAAAAATTGCAAGATACTATTTTATAAAAATTATTTTGTTTATTTTTTTTTTCTTTAAGTGTAAAATATTTGAAACTAAGTTTATATATATTATAATACTATGCTATAGAGAACGGCGTCTGTGGCGTAATCGGTAGCGCGTCGGACTGACAATCTCGGGGTCATGAGTTCGATCTCTGGCATAGGCGCTGTAGGATTTTCTTCAGAAAAAGAAGCCGTGCTCTATTTCGGCATAGTATGCTTACGCTATATAAATCCTTAGACCACTGTGCGAAAATAGTTGGGTATTTACTAAATAGAGACAAACTGACAGGAAGCATAATAATTGGTGACAGAAGATAAAATCTCATTGGCTTTTAAGATATTGCATGATTTGAACTCAGAATATACAAATGCTTTCTTTCTACCAATATTTATATGGATTTCAAGCATACTTTTGAGAAAGATAGCTGCACAATCTCTGTGATTACGTTAGATTAGCTAAGATAATTAAGTCAATATCCCAGTGAGAGAAAGAATTAGTATTCTAAAATCTGGGATGAAAACTTTTGACTTCATTCATAAAAGTAAACAAGAGGCCCAAAGGTCTTAAAGGTCACCTGAGTATAATACAACACAAGAAAGGATCCATAGAAGTATGAAATAACACAAACTAAACTGATAGACTGACGTAAAATCAAGAGAAGTAGGATGATCAATAAAAAATTCTAGCACTCGGTTAAAAATCATCAAGTAGATTTATTTGCTTGCCTATATATTAGGCAGTGCTAATACACTCCCATTTGTCACTATCACTAGACAGACTAAAAATAAAAGTGCTTCAACACATATACTGTAAATCACTTTTTATTTGCCAGGAACTTTTTTTCCACGTAATTATGTGAGACTGTGCTTGCTAAAATTTTAATCTTGCTTATATTCGTACTTCTTAAGATTACATAGAGCGATAACCACAAATCATGAAAATTTTGTCATGCTTATTGAGAGCATATGAATATCTTGTGAAATGGGATGTTGTGAGAATTTTGTGATCTACAGTATAATGAATTTAAATTCTAAATTTTAATTCTCTTGGTCTTTCAAGAAATTGAACTGATTTTGATGGTTTTGGCCCCATCCCTCAGGCCTTAGGAGGGCAGGGACCATGAAATTCAAATTTTTTTTTCCCCTTTGCCCATAGATACTCTGTACCAAAATTGGTTTGTTCAGCAGTTCCCAGGAAGAAGCTGAAAATGTTCAAAAGTTAATGACCAACACACGGTGGATGATGCACAAAGATGAATGAAAACAGATACCAATAGGTCACCTGAGTGACTCGGGTGACCTAAAAATAAATATAGTCTTTTAATCACCTCTAAAACACCTTTGATAGCTCAAGTATTAGTATTACTTCCACTAGTTACCATGGTTACTGATGTAGAACAAAGAGTAAGACTACCAATTATTGTACATGTACTTCTACTATAACTTGAAATATTTTTAAAAACCACTGTTTAATGGTACAGAAATTATGAGTCTTGGTCATACCATACAACTAAACGTTATCTACCTCTAGTTTCCAAAATGGTGGAAGCTTCACAGAGAAGAACAAGAAGAGCCTGTCTGATGCTGGGGGGTCATTAGTTTTCATCTGATTCATCAACTCCTGAAAAACAAAAAAGGCTGTGATTCTACAGAAGGAGACATTCACTTATTATAATACACAGTTACCAGGGCTGATCAACATGTTTGTGAACTAATTGAATTACAGGTACTTCCATATAAGAAATAAAATTAGGTTTCAGTGTTTATTATTTTTTAAAGTAGTCCCCTGCAGTATTAATGCACATCTGCACACGTTCTGCCGTTGCGCGAATCAAGTGGTTCAGGCGGTCACGTGACATGCTCCGTAGCATACTGTTCACAGCTGCAGAAGCTGAAAGATTTTTCTGAGTCTTATATCAATATGATGCAGATTATTTTTATAACAAGAATAGTCCATTTGTCACAAATGGCCAAATCTCGGCAATACAATGGGTGGATAAGGATATCCATTCCCAGAATAATCATAGTGACCATAACAACCCGACTCCTCTGTCTTAAGTGCTTGGTTTATCCAATGTGGATCAAGTATGGGTGCATATCTGGTATGTTTCTGTCTAAAGTGAATGTTATTTTAGGGCTTTAATAATTATTTTTAAGATATTTAAATATTTTTCAAACTGTAACTTCAGTTGAAAATCTTTTATAACAAATTGCTCAACTAAGGACACATCTCTTCCCCAGCTTACTTTCACTCGGCACCAGAACTAAAATCATTTTAACCATCTCCATTCCTTCAGTAAAACAATCAATCCAATCAATAATTGAACTTCTGGCAAGTCTTTTGTCTCCATGAACCTTGTACAAATTACTAAATGCTACTGCCAAGAAATTTAGAAGATATACATTAAACTTTACAGAAGTTCCTTGCTTGAGTACGACTGAATCACTCAACAACCATTTTTTGTCACAAGTCATCTAAATATTGACGTCATTTTCACATAGTGACGTCATAAACATGTTGCAAATCATTAATTAACATCATCTATTTATAGATCATGTTTATGACACTTCATTTAAGCATTGAATTTTTTATTTTTGGATGTCATCGGTCCTATAACAGCACCTGGCTGTGCCAACAAATTGAATACTGCACGTTACTGTGGTTTGATGATTTGTCAGCACGGACAGGTGCTGTTATACATGTAGGACCGACTACATCAAAAAATAAGAATTCGATGCTTATATCTACATTCTCTTATTTTCTCTCTTAATAATTGTTAATTTGGTTGATCTTTATGAATTTAGCGCTTTTTAGAATTGGTGTGCTAAATAGACGTTAGAGCCATTGTGACGTGGAAAGTTAAATAACGCAAATGAATTTTATGAGGGGAAAATTTAAAAATTAATTTTAAACGTACAATTGTTATATTTTTACAATAATTTAAAAGAGAAATTGATTTTTAAAGAAAATATGCAAAAATATATGTATATTGGTGTTCCTATAGTATCAAAAATGCACAAAGTTCCTACTGTGTATTCTACCGCGCAGTGACAAGGTTTCCTGTGTGTTATAGGGTATTGAATGTTGCAGATTTCCAAAGGATTTTTTAAAGAAAATTAAACTGAATGGATATATTCTGACCTGAATTGTGGTTTTGTAAATATAGACTGAGATAGGTCTTGAACTTTTTGATCACCCCTCATAAATAACTTCAATATCTAAAACATCAATATCAGGAATACCATGGGTATGTTAAAGAGAGATGGAGGTTAAAAAAATCCTTTATTTTCTGTATTTTAACCTCAATAACCTCAATATCTCAAATCCTCAGATATTTTAAATTTTATTTTTTCGGGGGCTAAATTGAATTCTAGATATCCAAGTTTGATTGTACCTCGATCTGCATCATTGACCTCTCCACGCGTCGACAACTTCCTTTCTCCAAACACGAGCGTCGATAGAGGCAGGCCAACGTAACACTCCAGCACTTTGTCTGAGATAAAACACACTACAACAAAAATTAGCCATAATTAACTCTGGTTCTGATCAATTCTGCTTCAAATAGACATAGAAAAGTGATAAGATAAAATATTTATTTAAAATCAAAAAAAATTATTAACATCAATACTTTGATAGGTCAGGAACTCTGAAAACATGTTACTGTAGATTTACACATGTATTTATAGCAGACCTCCCCCCTCTCCCACCTCCACCCCTATACCTCTATATGAGCAGTAACCCCCCTCTCCTCTCCCTCAGCCCCTATACTTCTATAGGAGCAGTAATCCACCTCTCCACTCCACACACTCAGCCCCTATACCTCTATATGAGCAGTAATCCTCCACTTCTCTTCACCCCTATACCTCTATATGAGCAGTAATATCCCTCTCCCCTCAGCCCCTATACCTCTATATAAGAAGTAATTCCCCTCTCCCCTCCACCCCTATACCTCTATATGAGCAGTTTCCCCTCTCCCCTCCACCCCTATACCTCTGTATGAGCAGAATTTCCCTCTCCCTTCCACCCCTATACCTCTATATGAGCAGTAATTCCCCTCTCCCCTCCACACCCTCACCCCTATACCTCTATATGAGCAGTAATCCCCCTCTCCCCTCCACCCCTATACCTCTATATGAGCAGTAATCCTCCATTTCTCTCCACCCCTATACCTCTATATGAGCAGTAATCTCCCTCTCCCCTCCACCCCTATACCTCTATATGAGCAGTAATCCCCATCTCCCCTCCACCCCTGTACCTCTATATGAGCAGTAATCCCCCTCTCCCCTCCACCCCTATACCTCTATATGAGCAGTAATCCCCCTCTCCCCTCCACCCCTATACCTCTATAGACCAGTAATCCCCCTCTCCCCTCCACACCTGTACCTCTATATGAGCAGTAATCCCCCTCTCCCCTCCAACCCTGTACCTCTATATATGAGCAGTAATTTCCCTCTCCCCTCCACCCCTGTACCTCTATATGAGCAGTAATCCCCATCTCCCCTCCACTCCTATACCTTTACATGAGCAGTAATCCCCCTCCCCTTTCCTGTACCTCTATATGGGCAGCAGCTTCCTCCTCCGTAAGCCTCTCCTGACTGGCATGTGTCCTCAAATGATCCTCCCTAAAAAACAGAGTATGAAAGAACAATGGCTGTTTAATCTAGGGAATACATGTAAAAGGGTTTGAAACAAATATTTAAATCTTTCAAAGCATATACTACATGGACCTTCTCACTTTGATCTAAGCATTGGCAGTAAAGTTACAATCCGATAGCTACATGAATGTACATGTACATTGTATTTGAAGGATTTAATTCAAAATAATTTTCAACTTTTTTCAATTTCAAAACAAATCAGACATGCTCTTAAAGTGACCTACATAGTTGCTATAACAACAGCTTGTTCCACAGGTGACATGTCTACAGCAAACTCTGTTCCTGGTTCTGTCAAATTGATGGCTTCTAAAACTGTGTCATCATCTAAATTTAAAATCTGAAGAAAAACACAAAGTAGGCAAGTGTTGAAATTTGTTTCTCATTCTATCAAAGAAATTAAAATACTTCAAGACAAGAACTCTGCAGAAAATGACTTTTAACTTTGCATTCTGACCCTATTCTCTTGTTTAGTTCCCACCTCTTCCCTTCTATCTTTTACCTTTGGGAGTTTGGTTCAGACTGTATTGTTTTGTTTGGTTCCCACCTCTTCCCTTTTGACTTTTCCTTTAAGAGTTTGGTTTTGACTTTGTTCTATTGTTTGGTTCCCTTCTTTCCTTCTGACTTGCAAGTTGTGTCCTGACTCTATTCTCTTGTTTGGTTCCCCCTCTTCCCTTCTGACTTTTACCTTTGGGAGTTTGGTTCTGACTATATTCTCTTGTTTGGTTCCCCCTTCACCCCATCTGACTTTTAACTTTGGAAGCTGCATTTTTGACTGTATTCTCTTCTTTGGTTCCCCCTCTCCCCCCCACCCCTTTTTGGGAGACATGTCCTGGCTTCATTTTCTGGTTTTGTTCACCCTCTTCCCTTTTGACTTTTACCTTTAAGATTTTCATTCAGACTGTATCATTGTCTTGTTTGGTACCCCCCTACCCCTTCTGACTTTTACCTTTGGGAGTTTGGTTCTGACTGTATTCTCTTGCTTGGTTCCCCCCTCACCCCTTCGGACTTTTACCATTGCAAATTTGGTTCATACTGTCTTGTCTTGTTTGGTACCCCTCTAGTCCCTTCTGACTTTTTACCTTAGCAAGCCTCATTCTGACTATATTCTCTTGTTTGATCCCCCCCTCTCCACTTCTGACTTTTACCTTTGGGAGTTTGGTTTTGACTGTACTCTCTTGTTTGGTTCCCCCCTCACCCCTTCTGACTTCCAGAACAAGTTGGGCTTTGTCTTCTGTTTGGAATCTGGTTCTCTTTCCCATGGCACCTTGACAAAAAATCATCTGGAGAGTCATAAACTAAGTATGCTCAGATAAATTTAGTACACTGATGTACATGTAAAGTTTTAAATTCATTACGCATTATACAATGGAATAGGGCATTACTCCATAAACTTTACCCTAAAGTTCCTTCAAGTTATACTTATTCAGGAAAGTTTTGCAATTATACAGAGATTATGAGAGTTTGGAGCTGTGAACAAGTCAAATACGTCTGTATCTATTACCAGTAATATCAATATGAAAACAGAAATTGCCATTGAAATCACTGAATGTCTTTGTGTGACAAAATTGTAAAAGATAGTAGCAGTCAAATTGGTTTTACGACATTCATTTTTCATCCTTAATACGTGTTAATAAGTGTTAATTTTTTCTGAAAACCTTACCAGTTAAGTTTATCTGTAGCCCTGTACATTTCTTGGCAGCAAGGAGGTGTTCATGAGCCAACTTATAATCAAAGAAAGTGTGTCCAATATAACCAGCCTCGATATGAAACTGTGTCAGTAAATCCCTACAAAACAAAAACTTATAATCAAAACATGCATGTCCAATATAACCAGCCTCGATATGAAACTGTGTCAGCAAATCCCTACAAAATAACGGAGTTGAACACGGTGAAGTTGATCTAGAAACCTTACACCTAAAGCTGAGCAAAAATCTTATGGAACAATGTCCTACTTGACCGGGACTTCTGACCTGTAAATATGAACGTGATCATACTGTAAACTTGCAAATTTACGTGTTGGTTATTTACATAAAGCACACCAAGAGAAATCTCTCGCATATTTACCCCTCTCCCCCCACCCCACCCAACAATGGATTAATTCTATTATAAATCTTCTTTTCAGCATTAATTACTTATTATGTTTGTTCCATGGACATGATCCACACGCAATTTGTTTCTGCCAATGATTCACATAATTAGCATCATGCCTATAGATACCCACATTTAGATTATTATACCTGTTTCTATCATCTGTCATCAGGGGCTCTTTCTTTGAGACTACAAGAAATAACAAGGTCAAACATGAAAATGAAAAAACTCTTAGAAAGAAAACAAATAGAAAACTGGCAATGTAAGTGGAATATGGAGTATTTGTGTGATTCTATAGAAGAGATTACGCAGAGTATTGACTGGAGATTTGTTAAGGAAAGATTGTACATCCTTTCAGTTTGAATTCTAATTCTTGTAACCTTTAGAAAATTCTTACCTGTGTCAATTAAAGCATGTACCTGCTCCCTGAGGGAGGCACATTTATCCTCCAGAATCTGTTGGTAGACATACACACTCCTCAGAATCCACCACTCAACTGTCTGTTAGATAATATAGAAAATGTATATACATCAAATTATCACAAAGTGATCCATCTCAATGACCTGAATTTCTAGTATTCATAGTATTCATATCTGGGTTGTGTTTTCAATATATAAACCCTAAGGCAGATTTAGCAGAAATGAAGAAACTTTATAATAAATCCATGCCTTTGCTACATTAATTTTTCAACCACTTTTTCATTATCACTGAATTGAACCATAAAACATGTACCATATAAAGTAATTGATTGAAAATTTCCTCTCTTCAGAATGGTGGGCATACAAGTACAAACCTCCTGCTACATTAGTGAAAACCCTAAGACACTTGTACATACTTGTAAACTATGTGTATGAGCCTGGCACCCAGCAAGAATACACTGAGCCTTAAAGGGGAACTCAATCCCCCCCCCCCCCAACAGAGGCTGTAAACCTCCCCGACACACACCTGTACATACATGTAAACTGTGTGAGAGCCTGGCACCAGTGAGAAGACACTGAGCCACAAATAGGAAATTGATCCCCCAACAGAGGCTGACACACACCTGTTCATACCTGTAAACTCTAGATCTGTGTGCGCGATCACACTGAGCCACAAAGAGGAACTCAATCCCCCCCACCCGAGGCTGTAAACCTCCCTGAACACACACCTGTACATACCTGTAAACTATGTGTATGAGTCTGGCACCCAGCGAGGACACATTGAGCCACAAAGAGGAACTCAATCCCCTGACAGAGGCTGTAAACCTCCTCCCCATCACACATCATCTCCTGGCAAATCTCTTTACGACATTGATCCACCTAGGAACATTTAAACAAAAAAAGGACTAATGAATAAAAATAAAGGAACTAATTTAATCTCCCATTACCATGAACAACATTTATTATACACTGTATTGAAAAAAAAAACACATTCAATCTCAAAAACTGAAAACAAAATTCCAACCTGACAATTTAGTACACTGTACATGTATTTTCTTGCATACATAAAAAGCAAGTCATTTACATAGTGAACATTAATTTCTTCAAGAATAAGTTATAATGATTACTTTATAATTATAATAAGAGCATTCTTTGATGAGTGTCAATAGTATACTTACATTATTAGAATCAGAAATTATGTTGATGAGGTCCTCAGAGAAACAGGACAGAGGTCCTAACCAGTTCTGACAAACAAAGAACTGTAGACAGGCAATAGCTACACACAAAATCTCCAGTTCACTAAAAATACAACAAAGATCTGTAAATAGGAACAAGAGGCCCAAGGGCCTTAACGGTCACCTGAGTACAATACAACAATTTAGAGGATCCATAGAGTATTAAAATGAAATGAAAGGTGAAGCTTTGTTGCCCAAAAGCAAGAAAAATAGGGTGATCAGGATCAACAAAATAATTAGTCTACTATTCACTAACAGTTCATAAATTAGGTTCTAATCTGTTCCCCATTTATCACTATCACCATACAGTATATTATCAAACTATCAGTGCTTTTGTACTAATTTAATTCCTTGTTGTAATCTCTTACATTGGCCTCTCTTGCTCTTTGATGAACATTTAATAAGACAAGTTATTTTTGTCTCACTTTTATTTATCTATTACTTACAAGTCCAAATGATCATTAAAACTATGAAAATACTTTTTGTATTATACAATAAAAATTCTTGCATAATTCTCTTATTCTATTAATTTTTCAAGTACATTATTTACAATGATTAATTATCAAAAGTAAACGGCAAAGGGGAATAACTCCTCTCAGTAGAATGCAAATTAATTGAGCCCTGGCTAGGACCAGAACACTTGACCAAATGGTCCAGATGTTCAAAAATCTGGTAAAAATACCCTTCCTTAATTACAACTTTTACACTTTTTGCCTCTGATATGCCCAAGTGCAGAGAAGATGTTTAAAGAAATAATGCATTTTCACTACAGATTCACTATATTATCAATAGAGCCCCTCCCCCCCCCCCCCCCCTTCACCACCGAGAAACACCAGAGCCTCTCACCCTGGGACCAGAAGTTTCAAGTTTGCTCATCATAAGTAATCACTTTGTTTAACTGCTTAACATTAAGGAGCAGACAGGATTATTTAATAGAATTAATGCATTTTCACTACATTATCAACAGCCCCACCCTTATACCAGCACATCTGACCCAGGGGTCATGCAATTCACTACTTTGGAAGAAGCACTCTTGCTCATCATAACTATATACTTAGCTTCTTTGCTTTTTAACCAGAAGCAGAAAAGAATATTTTCAAAGAAATTTTAATTTTTCACTATATAATCAATAGAGCCCCCCCCCCCCCCACCTTTTGACCAGAACCCTTGACCCTGGGGCCATGAAATTATCAATTTTAGAAGAGGCATCCTTGCATATCATAACAATCTGCTTAATAGTTTGTTTAAATAGTACCCAGGGGCAGAGAAGAAGATTTTCAAAGAAATAATTCACCTTCACTGTAGGAGCTATATAGCCCCACCCTAGCACAAGAACCCTTGTCCCTGGGGCCATGAATTTCACAATTTTGGAAGAGGTGTCCTTGCTTATCATAACAATGTGCTTAGTTTGTTTAAATAATACCCAGAAGCAGAGAAGAAGATTTTTAAAGCATTAATGCATTTTCACTATATAATAAATAGAGCCCCGCCCTAACATCAGAACCCCTGACCCAGGGGCCATGAAATTCACAATTTTGGTAGAGTTACTCCTGCTTATCATAACTATGTATTTAATTTGTTTAAATAATACCCAGGAGTAGAGAAGAAGATTTCCAAAGAAATAATGCACTTTCACTATATGATCTATATAGCCCCCCCCCCCCCCCCAGCACCAGAACCCCTTACCCTGGGGCTATGAATTTCACAATTTTGGTAGAGTCACTCTTGCTTATCATAACTATGTATTTAATTTGTTTTAATAATAACAAGGTGTAGAGAAGAAGATTTTTAAAGAAATAATGCACTTTCACTATATGATCTATATACCCCCCCCCCCCAGCACCAGAACCCCTGACCCTGGGGCCATGAATTTCACAATTTTGGTAGAGTCACCCTTGCTGATCATAACTCTGTATCTAATTTGTTTAAATAATACCCAGGAGTACGAAGAAGATTTTCAAAGAAATAATGCACTTTCACTATATGATCTATATAGCCCCGCCCTAGCACCAGAACCCCTGACCCTGGGGCCATGAATTTCACAATTTTGGTAGAGTCACCCTTGCTTATCATAACTATGTATTCAATTTGTTTCAATAATACCCAGGAGTAGAGAAGAAGATTTTCAAAGAAATAATGCACTTTCACTATATGATCTATATAGCCCCGCCCTAGCACCAGAATCCCTGACCCTGGGGCCATGAATTTCACAATTTTGGTAGAGGGCTCAATGCTTGTTACAAACATGTCAACAGTTTGACTGCTTGATGTCCAGGAGTAAAGAAGAAGATTTTTAAAGATTGCATTAATTATGATGGTTTTAGCCCCACCCCTCAGGCCCCAGGGGGGCAGGGACAATGAAATTCACAAATTTTGTTCCCCTTCACACATAGATGCCATATGCAACAAGAGGCCCAAGGGCCTTAACGGTCACCTGAGTATAATACAACAATTTAGAAGTTAAATACACTGATAGATGAAGCATTGTTGCCCTAGCCCCCCCCCCCCCCCCCGCCCCCCCCCCCTCCTCAAGAACCCCAAAAACTGAGGCCATATATTTAAAAATTTTGGAAGAGGCATCCTTGTCTATCATAATCATGCACTTAGTTTGTTTAAATAATCTCCATGAGAAGAAGTTTTTCAAAGAATCAATGCATTTTCACTATATAATCAATAGAGCCCCGCCCTAACACCAGAACCCCTGACCCTGGGGCCATGAAATTCACAATTTTTGAAAAGGCATCCCTATGCGTTTAAATAGTCTCCAGTAGCAGAGAAGAAGATTTTCAAAGAATCAATGCATTTTCACTATATAATCAATACAGCCCCACCCTAACACCAGAACCCCTGACCCTGGGGCCATGAAATTCACAATTTTTGAAAAGGCATCCTTATGCATCATAACCATGCACTTAGTTTGTTTAAATAATACCCAGGAGCAGAGAAGAAGATTTTCAAAAAATTAAAGCATTTTCACTATATAATCAATAGACCCCCGCCCTAACACCAGAACCCCTGACCCAGGGGCCATGGCTTTCACAATTCTGGAAGAGGCCCACTTCCTCATCATAACTATGTACTTAGTTCCTTTATTTAATACCCAGGAGCAGAGAAGAAGATTTTCAAAGAATTAATGCATTTTCACTATATAATCAATACAGCCCCGCCCTAACACCAGAACCCCTGACCCTGGGGCCATGAATTTCACAATTTTGGAAGAGGCACTCTTGCTCATCATAACTATGTACTTAGTTCCTTTATTTAATACCCAGGAGCAGAGAAGAAGATTTTCAAAGAATTAATGCATTTTCACTATATAATCAATACAGCCCCGCCCTAACACCAGAACCCCTGACCCTGGGGCCATGAATTTCACAATTTTGGAAGAGGCACTCTTGCTCATCATAACTATGTACTTAGTAACTTTATTTAATACCCAGGAGCAGAGAAGAAGATTTTCAAAGAATTTATGCACTTTCACTATATGATCTATATAGCCCCACCCTGGGGCCAGAACCCCTGACCCTGGGGCCATGAATTTCACAATTTTGGAAGAGGCACTCTTGCTCATAATAACTATGTACTTAGTTCCTTTATTTAATACCCAGGAGCAGAGAAGAAGATTTTCAAATAATTAATGCATTTTCACTATATAATCAATACAGCCCCGCCCTAACACCAGAACCCCTGACCCTGGGGCCATGAATTTCACAATTTTGGAAGAGGCACTCTTGCTCATCATAACTATGTACTTAGTAACTTTATTTAATACCCAGGAGCAGAGAAGAAGATTTTCAAAGAATTTATGCACTTTCACTATATGATCTATATAGCCCCACCCTGGGGCCAGAACCCCTGACCCTGGGTCCATGAATTTCAAAATTTTGGTAGAGGGCTCAATGCTTATTACAATGATGCCAACAGTTTGACTGCTTCATGTCCGGGAGTAAAGAAGAAGATTTTTAAAGATTGCATTATTTTTGGTGGTTTTAGCCCCAACCCTCAGGCCCCGGGGGGGCAGGGACCATGAAATTCACAATTTTTGTTCCCCTTCACCCATAGATGCTATATACCAAATTTGGTTGAAATTGGTTGAGCGGTTCTAGAGAAGAAATTAAAAATGTTCAAAAGTTAACGCACGACGGATGACGCACGACGACGGACAAAAACAGATAGCAATAGATCACCTGAGTGACTCAGGTGACCTAAAAATTGGCTGAAATTGGTTCAGCGGTTTCAGAGAAGAAGCTGAAAATGTTCAAATGTTAACACACGACGCACGAAGGATGACGACGGACGAAAACAGATAGCAATAGGTTACCTGAGTGACTCAGGTGACCTAAAAATATGTAGCTACAAGTACATACAGTAATTTAACTCAAGCTCATTGAAATTATTAGAAAGGACAAGGTATGGTAACAGCCGAATCTGGCCCCTTATTTGATGTAAAAATCAAAATAGTTAAAATTGTGATAGTTTGTCGTTAAGAACTTAAAATAATGCTTGTTTTAAAACCAGCATTAATTTTGATTCAAAGCTTACACGAAGGCCACAAGAGGGTGCAGAAGCAGGGCATCAGGGTTCTCACTAGGATTTTGCTAACTTGAGTCCCAGGACTCAAGATTTCTGAGAAGGTTGCGTCCCAGCTAAATTTGATGCGTCCCAGAAAAAATATGTTGAGTCCCAACTAAATTACTGAAGTATCCTTCCATCCAAACATCAATAAAAATCTGACACTATTATGACTATGGACTAATAAACATGAAATAGCTTATGATCAATCCCTGTTTAAAACAAGAGAAATAAGTACAAGAAAAGTTGTTTCTTGGATAAACTTTATGATAGTTACAGGAAGGTTTCGATTAAATATTTTTTTTTAACAAATCCTAACATCTAAATTCCCCGTTTTCGAAATCACCCGAATTTTCTCGCTGACGAGGACGCGTCCGATCATGAGTCCGCGGACGCATCGTTTTTAAGAACCTTGCGTCCCAAGTAATTTTGCTGCGTCTAGGACGCAGATTCTTGCGTTAATGAGAACCCTGGGGCATTTTTCCGAATTTCCTCAATTTTGGTGGGATTTTGTCAAATTTGAGATACATTTCACTTCGGGAAACATAGAGCACAAGCTTGCCTATCTGAGATTTTTATATATAAGATGCATCTGATACTAGTGTATGAAATTATTTCATACACTAGTATCAGATGCATCTTATATATAAAAATCAAATATGAAAATTTGGTAGATAGGCAAGCTTGTGCTCTATGTTTTCTGAAACAAAATGTGCTGTAAAAGCGATGAAAATTTGCATAAAAATGAGAAAATTCGGAAATTGACATGTTTTCTGACCTTCCTGTGACCTCTGTGTATCCCATAACTTAGAACCAATACCAATTTTGTGGCAGGGGTGACAACAGGTTTCTATTGATTAACTGTTGCATCATTCTAAAAGACACCCCAAACCAGGGGCCAAGAAGGGGTCTAAGCCTATCTTGTCCTTGGCATTACCAAATTCTTAATTCATACATGTACATGTAATGTTTCTTCAGAAATTGCATGCTAATGGTTATATATAGCTACATGTATTATCGGTTGTATAGCAGTAAACATTGGCTTACATTGCTGTAAAAAATGAATTAGTTGCACTTTTAATTTATCTATGGGAAAAAAGTACATGCAAGTAAAAGATAATTTATGAAGAACATCTCCCCTACCATTCTGCTGTTGTCTGTTTGTCTGTCTGGGTTATGATCCTCTTTACATTTTCTGCTACTGAGTTTTTAAGAAGGGGTATAGACGTTCCATTTCTCTGAAGTAAATCTTTAACAAGAGGGTACTGGAATACTTTAGCATAATCGCCACTCAGTACACATTTGACAACTTCATTTGGTTCTGAAAAAAAACTACATGTCTTTCATTTAAACTAGACCACTAACTTCATCGCAAGCCACAGGTTTTGACTGATATTCACAGACCTGTCCACTGCTGTCAGCTAAGCAATAAACCTTGGTTTGTGAAAATAGAATGGACATTAGGGAACCTTTATGTGTACTCCATAGTTATGCAGCAATATATAAAATGATGAGAATATAATGAAAGACTGCTCATAAATGAACATGTAGAATATTTTCACTTAAACACAATGAATTATTCAATTTATAAACATATTTCAGTATTTGATTAGATAATATTGACCTAAAAGTGCTTATTTGTCATTTTGGTAGTACTTACCAGGCACAGTCAATTCTCTTCTGGATACAACACTCAAAATCAATGTCTCAAGTTCTCTTATTCGTTTTAGATCTCCTTCCATATCAATATTTGGACAATGTTTACAAAATTCACGTGTTGATTCAAAAGGAAGCAGCCATCTTGAATTAATGGTATCGATCAACTCGTACTATGGTTGATTCGTGATCAATGAAGAAGAATGAATTCACTTAATTAATGATCAGATTGAAATAGGGGAGGGATACTCAATTAAACCAAGTATAAATATTGATAGAAAAAATACGACAGAAAATTCAAGTCAACTGCAATAACTAGAATGTTGATCTCTTGAACTTTTATGTCCAAATATAGAAATAAATTCTATAACGTTAGACATTAAATTAACGATTCCTTTTTAAAGAATTCATGTTAAAAAATTACTAGAATTGAAAAGAATCTTTTGATACAAAAAACCTTTACAGAATGTGAAATACAGTTTCAATAGAAACAATTACAACTTATTGCAAAAATTATAGCCCGAGGCAGAAACCCGAGGCGATACATCATCATGTAATTTACAGGGTCAGAGGTAAGACACAGACGTCTTAACGACCCCCGGAGAGACACGTGGAGAACAGGAAGAAATCAGGCGGCCATTTATTTACAAACTTAGCATATACAGGTAAGTTTTTATTGTCAAAATACTTCATATTTAATTCTGGTCTTAAACTAGTCTTTCTATTTTACTTAGCGTAAAGTCTATACAAATACGGCTTCGTTAAAGTATTTCAGAATCCATGCCATACTTCCTAAAAAAAATGAAAACAAGCTATTTTGTATTAAAAGTATGTGTGCATATGTTATTTTTACTGGTTCAAGCTGACCAAATCGAATTCCCTATAAGAATTAAAATTGCTTATTAATTATTGATCAACGAATTTTCATGAGTGCCTTGAGAAATTCTAAATTTCCTTCGACTCAAAATTGCAACTACATAGAAAACCCATGAAAAGATTTATAATCAGGCCTCAGAAAACATATTGCAACTTTAATTGCGTTCCTTTTTTACCTTATGTTCGGTTTAAAAGACTTTCGGCTCCGAGGGACCCGAACCCTACTTCTATTTTATGGTCATTTTAAACGACTAACATCACAGAAGAATTAAAATCAAAGAAACCAAATAAAATTTAGTCAGAAGACTGATATTTAATCCAATGATAGCATTATATATATTAAAAAAAAGACTGGCACTAATGACCCAAAAAAATAAAATATTAAATGTTGATTAACATGATTAACGCATGAAAACAAATAATATAACTATTTGAACTGTTCATTTGTTCACAGCAGTAATGCTTCGTCTGTTTTTGCTTCTATCATTGGCCGTCTGGTGTTGCCATGGACACGGTAACCATGGACAACAGGGTGGAACCCAAGGTCAACCCGTTCCTGCTGACCAGTTTAATTTCCACGACCCAAAAATCAGCCAGGATGAGGCGTAAGTCAAAGACTTTGAAGATAATACATACTGTACCAAAAACCTGAACGGTATCCTGCGTGCAGAAGCTCGTTTTAGTTTCTCGATCTTCAACAGCTTCTCTATATTACACATTTACACTTCAACATGTTCAAGGCTTTTTGAAAACATACTGTTCTAATTTCAATTTACTAATTTGTAAAAGTATATAAGTGCAGATGTTTTAATGATACTTTATTGTTCCAACACTGAGAAATTATACCCTGTCTTTAACAGTCACTTGAAAGAACACTTGAAGGACCAAATCGACACAAACAAACGAATGACACCGGAGGAGATGGAATTTCACTACTTCAGGTAAAATAAGAGCAAGGAATTATATGTAGCTAAAACAGAAAGCAAAGTTAGGGACATAATTTAAGCCAGATAAAATCATAGAAGAGCCAGGACTCAGTTCAAAAAGAAAAAAAAAGACAGAGCTATGGAGGACCACTCTACTTAGGTCAGGTAAAAACAATGACAGGATTCAAGAAAGGTAAAATCAAAATCAGAACTCAAATCTAAGTTACAAACAAATCAGACAGGATGTAGGTCAAAATAAAAAGAGCTGGATTTAGGATGGATAAAAGTGAGCCACATCTTTTGTCTTTGTTTACAAAACCTGATCAATTAATTACGATGTTGTACATTTTGTTATTGAACATCATTCAAGCACAGACAGCAAAGACGACGTTATTCAGGTAATTAATATATTTAATTAGAAACAGTTTGATTCAGTTTTTACTTTTTAGTAATAAATATAATTTGTACAGAAAAAAAGAATGACAAAAAATGGGGGGGGGGGGGATTTCATGTCCAACTTGCAGAACCTATTTGTTTCGTTATGTAGGAGGGGGTGGGGTGGGGTAGGTTCTAATTTTTTTTTTTAAAGGAAAAAAATGAGATCCTTTTAATATGAGAGGATTTAACCTTCCTGCAACAAAAAATAGTTGGTGGGTATTGGGGTGGGGTGAGGTGGGGGATCAAGCAGTCTTCAAATGCAAATCTCTATAGTAGAGAAACACTACTGAGCAAAATTTTTTGAAGTAAAAATTAGTCTAGAAAATGAAGTGGGGTGGGGGAGGGGGATGGTAGCGAACCTCCAACCCGATTTCGATATTCTACGATCGAGCCTAATTTAATTTTTTTAAAACTACATATGTATAAGTACATGCATGTAGGTGTTGTTTTCATACTGACAGGTTACACGACACAAACAACGATACCAAACTGGACGGACTGGAGATCATGGCGGCTTTGCATCACATGGGTGACATGTTCAAACTTCAACCCCAGGAGAAAATTGGTAAAACACCGGAACAGATCGCAGCATTGGAGGAGGAAAGACAAAAAGGGGCCCTCAAGTATTTCACAGGTAATGACGTCAGTAGCCTTGAAAAAATATACTGAAACGTGTGTGTGTGTTTGTTTGTATGTTGGAAGGGGGGGGTAAACTTTCTCGATCCCTTGCCTTATAGCTGAATTGTCAATTCCCCGACCCTTCCTTCACCCCCTCCCCCCCCCCCCCCCAAAAAAAAAGAAAAAAAGATTTAGTATTCTGTTATTTTTCCAGTTTTTATATGTAGATGTTTTTTTTTTTTTGTTAACACATGTTCATATTTACTGTATAGAATGTGTTAACAGCGGACTCGCTAGCGTATCTTTATGTACTAATTTATTTCGTCCGATTGTTAAACGTTAACATGGAAATATGACATTTCATTTTACAGACATCATTGACCGAGTCCTGGTAACGGACGATGTCAACAGAGACGGATACATATCTTACCCGGAATACATGAACGCCAGAAAGCGAGACTTCCACCAGTATCAGCAACAGATGGCGATGCAACAGCAACAAATGGCACAAATGCAGGCTGCGCAATTCCAGCAGTTCCAGCAATTCCAACAGTACCAGCAACAACAAGCTCAAATGGCGCAACAGCAGCAACAAAAATTCCAACAGCAACCGAATCAAAATCAATTACCCAATGCGCAACAATTCCAGCAACAACCACAAGCTGGCGCAACCAAATCTTCCTAAGGCAATGTGTGGGATCTCACTGTTCAAAATGAAATAATTAACTTTCATTCAGTTTAATTTATCTTTTATATACTTTTTGTAATTTACAAGAATAAAAATGGGTGAAAGTAGTTTTACATCGAAAAAAGAAAATTGCCAAACATATGAGAGATAAAAATATTACGATGATGAATGGTGCGTGTGTGTTTCTGTTGTAAACTGTCCATGTCTCCTTGTCTAATATTGTTTGGTTTTTGGTGCATGTACATGGTATAATTTAGTATTTGCGAATCTTCAATTATTTAAATTTGAATGTCCGTTTATGAGAGAGAGGGAGAGAGAGATAGTTGTATATAAATACACTTATTTATACAATTTTGGGTGCATTTGTTTTGATAATAAAATATTTGTAAAAAAAAAAAATTACACGTATATATTAATTTTGTAATTTGCTATATATGCAATATTGGGCAATATGTTTCTTCATATGGTGTGTATTGTCTTTATCATTTTCATCATAAATTCGAAGTTTGCAAATTCTTGATTTTTGGTTCGACTACCATGCATACGTGTCGTAAATGTCAACACATATACATGCATTGTCGCCAATTACAATTAATGACATTAACATCTAAAAATCGCTGGCCACAAAATACGCAGGTGGATATTTCATAGCTTCATTCCTTTTCTAGTAAGGATTTTTTGCACCATCCAAATATTTACCAGACCTGTGGGAAACCGGAAGGGGTGGGTGGGTGGGAGGTCCCGATCTTCTACTTACATGTACATCATATAAACACTATGTAACAGAAAACAAGGCTAATTTGCAGTTGCGACCCTTCGTGCCCCCCCCCCCCCACCTCATTCCCGCCCCCAGTAATTTTGCCAACATATACTATGCAAAAGAAAATAACGCTTATTTACGGATGTGCTCCCTGAATGATATTTTTTGCTTGTCAAGGCACCCAACTGTGTCCACAAACACCCCTTCCCCTAGCCCCACCCCAACTGAATTTGCTTCGTTCTTACAGAACTATTTATGCATGACATTACTGACCAATTGTTACTTCAAATCACTTCATCTGAATCAATGCACTGCAATGAGACTGATTTTAATGAGGCTACTTTACATGATTGGACAATTCGTATATAAACATGTTGTCTGAGCTGGTTAATTGTTTACTAATCCTGCAAATCAATGCAGAACAAAACGTAAACCTAGTTTTTACATTTATCAGTTTATCGATATCCATACCAGTAAATTCTCCAAGTTACAGAAGATATTTGAAGGGGGGGGGGGGTGTCTCTATGCAGGTTCCTTCACGGATGACCAGATAGATTATGCAGATTGCATAGATCATGTAACCAGAAAATCATGATTTTTCTCGCATACATGTGTGGCATCTTCCTGTAACATATATATACATTTGTATGGTCCCAGACCCCCCCCCCCCCTCTCCAACCCTCCACCCGATACGCGCATATATACTGTGAATTCAGTTTTATATATCATAATTATCTCTGAATCACTAAAGGTTCAAAATTTCTTCCGAATTCCAGTTTTTTTTTTAATTCTAATTAATTAATTAATTAATTTATTTATTTATTTATTTATTCATTCATTCATTCATTCATTCATTTATTTATTTATAAATTTTATTGATTGATTTATATTTATTCATTAATTTTATTGATTGATTGATTTATTCATTTATAAGAGATGTTCCATGAACATCATATATCCAATCTAAGATGATCAGATGAAAGTATTATCCCCCCCCCCCCCCCCCCCCGGGGGCGTTGAGTATCCCCCCCCCCAAAAAAAAAAAAATCAATTAACATTTCTCAGAAATGTCTATCAAAATTTCATGATTACTCTATAATTATGTGTAATATGAATAAAGTTTTTATAAATGTAGCACGAGCATGCATAAATATTTTTTTAGGACTTAGATGGGCGAATCATTCCTAGTTCGAGTTATCAAGTGTTGTTGCCCCAAAATTTCCCCGCAAAAACTTGAAACTAGTAATATAATTTTAACAATAGCTCAACAAACGAAAATAATGGGTGAGGAAATGAACATCACGGAGGATGAAGCAGCATTATATGACAGACAGATTCGTCTCTGGGGATTGGACGCACAGCGCAGGTACAGAAACAAAGCAATGTTCTGTATTCCCGAATTTCCTCAGTTCTTGAAAGTTAACAGTTGATTCCTCATCTGTTTGTTCATCATCTATTTATTTCTTTGTAGGTTACGTGCTGCGAAAGTTCTTCTGATTGGACTGAAGGGACTCGGCGCAGAGATCACTAAGAACATTGTTCTGGCTGGAATCAAGTCAATAACTTTGTTGGACAATACAAAAGTAAATCATAGATCAATTATTCTCATCTCATTGACTGTATATCTTTTATGAAATAATTTGAATAACATATTATATAATTATATATTTTACAGTATGACCAATTGGGCGAGTTTTTTTTTTTTTTTTTTTCACAGGAGGGGGTCAATTATTTCATTATCAGATCTGGTATGATTAAGGAGTCTTGTGCCATTTGTGTAATGTTGTGTTGATTAACTTTTGGACAAAATGGAAAGCATACTTATAATGCCAAATTTTCAGTAGAGGAAAATTTTGTATTTTGACAGTTGATCCCTTCATAAGTCCATGAAGCATTAATGTGTGCAGATTTAATTTTAGAAGATGTGAAAGACATGCTAATTTTAATATTTATAACATATCATGTCATTATTCAAAATAGTGTGTGCATAAAAATACATTTATTTGTTCACTAGTGTACCAGAGCTTAGTGATTAAATGATAAGTGATGAGAGTAGTGATACAGAATTATGCATTAAATTAATGCTGACACATGTATCATGATATTGGTTTCTTTTTACAGTCTACAGAAGAAGACAGTTGTTCACAATTCCTCATCTCTAGAGCTGACTTGGGTAAAAATGTAAGCCTTGTGTTAATTGCTTACATATGATATACATGTAGAAAAAAGTTTAGTCTTTTATACTGCTTAACACTTGGTTGCCATTTCAGTGGATGATGTTTTGTATTTTTCATTATCAGAGGGCCGAGGCATCCCTAGAACACACACAGCGTCTGAATCCTATGGTAGAGGTTGTGGCAGACACACAGAGTGTGGAGGACAAAGCTGACAAATTCTTCACAAAGTTCGACGTCGTTTGTGCCACATGCTGTAAACAGTCCACTCTCCTCAGGATCAACAAAATCTGCTCGGCCCACAATATCAAGTTCTTTGGAGGGGATGTCTTTGGCTTTTATGGTTTCATGTTTTCTGATTTAGGAGAACATGAATATGCAGAGTAGGTACACATGTAGTGAAAATTTTTCAATTAGTATGTAAAATGGGTAAATGTATAAATGGATAAATTGTCTTGTAAATGTACAAATACAGCAATAGCTGATTTTCATGTTATCTAGACTGTAATATTAATGCTTGATAATTAAACCTGTAGGAAGATGACTTAAACAAAGTTGAAGCTTTATTAAACAACTTATTAATAAGAACTCAGGTATTAAGAAATTTTATTGGAATGTTACAGAGAAGTTCCCAAGCCGAAACCGAAAGATGAAGAGGGGGAACCAGCAGCTAAAAAAGCCAAGAAGGAAGAAACAGAAATGGTTACAGTGAAAAAGGTACTAAAAATACATGTATTATGTAGCTGTAATTAAAGGTACAGTTTATGTAGCCTACTTTTGATATGTTACTGTAATTATAGGTAGAGTTTATGTAACCAGCTTTTATCTTAAGCTGTACAGTACAAACAGAGTTTATGCTTAAAAGGAAAGGATTTCCTCTTGTTTGGTATTTTTCTTTTACAGTGAGCTACAATAACATTTACACATGGTTTCTGTTTTATGGTTTCTGTTTTGTGTTTTAGAGTGTTTCCTTCAGTCGACTACAGAGTGCGTTAGACATTGACTGGTCCTCTCAATCGGCTCAGCGTAAACTCAAAAGAATTCCCAACACATACTTCATCATGCAAGGTATGCAGATAAATATGATATTTGTTTTTTTTTGTCCTTGATTTAGTTTTTGAGTCCTTCATTGTAAGTACTTCGAAAAAAAGGATCATTATTTACAAATTGATATGAACAAAAGAGTCATTTTGGGTCAAACGCTAGGAAAACGCATTGAGTAAGTACACTGTTATCATTATTTGACATTAGTTTATGGATTAGAAATATTTGAAATCGCATGATATCTTCATAAATCTTATTAAAAAAGAAACAAAAAAATTGTCCTAGTGAATCTGTTTTCTCTGGAGCTTATGCTTAACTCGAGTGTCAGACCTTATAAACACACTGTAGATAGGGAAGACCTTATAAACACACTGTAGATGGAGAAGACCTTATAAACACACTGTAGATGGAGGAGACCTTATAAACACACTGTAGATAGGGAAGACCTTATAAACACACTGTAGATGGAGAAGACCTTATAAACACACTGTAGATGGAGAAGACCTTATAAACACACTGTAGATAGGGAAGACCTTATAAACACACTGTAGATAGGGAAGACCTTATAAACACACTGTAGATGGAGAAGACCTTATAAACACACTGTAGATAGGGAAGACCTTATAAACACACTGTAGATGGAGAAGACCTTATAAACACACTGTAGATAGGAAAGACCTTATAAACACACTGTAGATGGAGAAGACCTTATAAACACACTGTAGATGGAGAAGACCTTATAAACACACTGTAGATGGAGGAGACCTTATAAACACACTGTAGATAGGGAAGACCTTATAAACACACTGTAGATGGAGAAGACCTTATAAACACACTGTAGATAGGGAAGACCTTATAAACACACTGTAGATGGAGAAGACCTTATAAACACACTGTAGATGGAGGAGACCTTATAAACACACTGTAGATAGGGAAGACCTTATAAACACACTGTAGATGGAGAAGACCTTATAAACACACTGTAGATGGAGGAGATCTTACAAACACACTGTAGATAGGGAAGACCTTATAAACACACTGTAGATAGGGAAGACCTTATAAACACACTGTAGATGGGGAACTTGAAAATTTTTCTGAATTGAAACATTCTGAGATTCTGATAAGGCTTTGTTATTACATGTATTATTACATGTGTTATTACATGTGTTATTACATGTATTATTACATGTATGTTATTACAAAAAAGTTCATGATATTTGTTGTACAATTAATGATTACTCATGACTCATGACTTTGGTATCAAAAATGATGTAAAATTCATTTGATTTAAACATATTGATGGTGTTCCATTGTGTGAAGCCTTAACCTGAAAAATATGTCACCCACCTTTTCGTGTGCAATTCAAAAATGACTGAAAAACACTAAGATGATAACACTCAGTAGGAGCCGTCAAGTTATAAAATTTCATGAAATGAATTCTGTCTTGTGTTTGCAGTGTTACATGACTTCATGAATAACAACAACAGATGTCCTGATGTCAAACAAAAAGAGAACGACATTAAGCTATTAATAGAACAGAAAACAGTAACCCTTGAGAAGCTAAAGCTAAGCCCCAGTCTACTCTCAGATGAATTTGCCAGGTATGTCATTTATTGTATCTGGTAGGGTACATACTCATCCATACTGTGGTAATGGGAGGACTGAAGCTGATTTGAGATTCAATATTAACTGTAGTTTCTGATACAGATCATAGTTCATTCCCTTAGGAATGTAGCAAAGACGTTTCTTATAGCATAGGCTGTTTGACAGCTTCCTTGCTTCACAAGAAAAGCTGCGATGCATGATAATTTGTGCTAAAAACAATACCCTTATACAACATTCTTGTAGAATCATAACTGATTAAAATACTGTATAAAGGATTATTTTCGCCCCATCTTATTTTTGCCCTTTTACACCTGCAAACAATTTTGCCCCATTTTGAATTCGCCCACAGTTCTGTTAAAGAGATAATGCCGTTTTCTTTGAGTTTGCCCTATTTTAGCATCACCCAATTGCAACGGCAAAAGGGGCGAAAATAAAACCCGGGGCAAAAATTTCCCTGTATACAGTAGATTCATACTATATTTTATACAGACTAAACTAACTTTGCTTTTAGAATACACAGGTAAGTGTTCAATTTCCTTCGATTTAGAAACCTTTACACTGTACATAATCATATGTAACTATTACAGTTTCTGCTTTGCTGAGCTGAGTCCAGTGTGTGCCATTGTGGGCGGAGTCATGGGTCAAGAAATCATTAAGGTAAATGTCTCTTGTGTAGTGATATAAATTGCTGATAATTATTGAATTATTAAAAACATTGATTTCCTATTTTTAGTTAATAAAGTTTTTTTAATTCCATGATGTTTGTATGCAATAAAGTGCATTGGGTAAAAGTTTTAATCCATACATATTTTGTACACTAAGTACAGTAAATAAACTCTGCCCATAATCTGAATTTCTGATGAATATAAACTGGAGTACGCTTTTTAGCTCATCTGAGCTCAAAGCTCAAGTGAGTTTTTCTGATCACCTGTTGTTCAGCATCCATTTGTCTGTCTAACTGTCCATCCATTCACATTTTGACTTTTTCTTGAGAACCACTGGGCCAAATTTAACAAAAGTTGGTCCAAAGCATTCTTGGGTTAAGGCAATTTTGGATTGTAAATTTGAATGGCAAAGCCCTCTTCCAAGGGGTGAAAAGAAAAGGCAAAATTAAGTTAGGGTCCTTAAAAATCATCTTCTCAACAAGCACTGGGCCAGCGATTTTGCTTGTTAAGAACACTTATCCTCCCTGGGCTACCATATGAAGATTCCTCGCTCTTGTCTGAATAGGACATCTGTAGATCCAGGGATTTTTTTAGGGTCTCTCTGGGGCCGAAATTTGGCCCCATTCCCAATGCTGAAAAGTGCATGTTTTTCCCAAAATTATACCTAAAAATTCCCAATTTAAAAAAAGTATTAAGTTGTAAATTATTAAAATAAAATGACAAAAAAGGTGTTTATGTTCTCTATGTGCGACGTACGAGCCATCCGAGGACTTCCGAGAAGTTATTCAGAATACTACGGATGTTTGGATAAATACTTTTTAAAGCTGGATCGATGTTTAAATATTAAAGTCGGGATCATTATTTTATAAATAAATGTGCATCATGTCAGTCTCTCCACTTTGACGATAATTTTCAGGCTGGGTTGGGTCACCCTTATTCTTATAAATTGGTCAAACAATACCGATTAACTACTCATCTGGAACAAACCCACTATCAAATTTTATTTTAAAGAACTTCTTACATAAAGGTAAAAAAGATGACAACGTATAAATATGTTCATTTAGAACGTTATCATACCCTGCGGCTTTGCCATTTTTAAGCTTCTGAACTTCAACAGCTGCTATTATTTCATATCACTAAAGCTGGTTTAAGCCAGCTTCATACTAAAAAAATAAGAAAAATGATTAAATATTTGACTTTACTTGTTTTTTTCCTATTTATTTCTATGAAGATATTTTTGCCAATTTCAACCAAATATCGCTATTTTTCCCAATCTTGATGGCCCCGGCCCCTGGAATTAAAGGGTAAAAAATCCCTGAGATCTAACTGATAGGTCATTGCTAACTTGTTGCATGATAATAGAACTTAAAACATGAGTTTAAATACCCTAAGATCGAATTACTACATGCTACAAAATAGACCCCGAATGTTATTAAAATCAATATAGCGCTTAAGTGACATGAGTAGAAAGCACCATTTAGACACATACCGACTGGATAGCCAAATCAACACACCTGCCGCCCCGAAGAAACCAGGATTGAACCCATCCCCCCCCCCCCCCCCCCAAGAGCATCAAACAATTTTCTTTTATAACTCAAAAGGAATTGATTACCATGCATTAGCATAACATATTGTCATTACCTCAGGTCTGGAACAGAGATTTGGCTTAAACACCCAATTTTATGTCAACGCCCCCAAAATCTACCTAATTCAAGATCAATAGTATACCGCCTGTCAATCATTAAAAAAACAATAGCTTCTGATTTGATTGACGGGCCAGCTACTTGGGCTACCTGATAATCTGAGTTTGCATGTTTTGAAAACAATTACCTGGTCACGCGTCAAACGCTTTCATGTACCGCGTGAATGGTCGCTTTGTATACACTCTGGTTAAAAAAAATCATGTCGCTGTTATATTGTTTGATAATTTAAAAAATAATTGAGAGTAGATAATTAAACAGTGACTTCGTGATTTTATTTTTCAATCTCCACTGCTGTTTATACTTGATAGCGATATGACGTCCAAGATAACTGTAGAACTTTTCAAAGAAAAATTACCGGATATTCAAACCTTCTCTTAAGAATGTACGTAATGCCCTTGTCGACCACTTGCACTTGGGTACACAGAAAGTCAATTCGTCATAATTGGAAACAATCGACCCCCTCCCCCACCATTTGAAAATTATAAAAAAAAAATGCAATGGGTTAAATTAGAAAAGATATCTATACTAATATAAATAAAGTATCTTATATTTAACGCCATGAAGTACGAAAGATTCTTTTGATATCCAAATCTGTAAACAGGGCATAAGAACAAGGACCCTCGGAAATCGCGAATACTTGGACTCCATTGTTCACTTTTTTCTTTTTTTTCTTCTTTTTTTTTTAATTTTACGATTTGTTAAAAAGATATGTCTTTTTTTTCTTCAAAAGATATCAAGGAAAACATGAAGTCTACGAATTTTATATTTCAGTACATAATTTATTTTAAATATTTTCACTCACAATTATGCACAAAACGCGTAATGTTGACCTTGAATACCAAAAGCCAGACTTCCTGTGTAATGCAGCATGTATAGGGATTTTTGACATCTTGAGTATTTGGAGTCTCCAGGTAAAAACATCAGTACTACCAAGACCACTCCCCCTCCTAAGGTAACCGTACGGTAAAAAATTGGGTCTTTAAACTGGAATGAAGTTTTACATAACGCATGTGCACAGGAAAAAATTAATTTTCTTCTCCATAACAACAAGGTAATACTAGTCAGATTGAAATTGAATCATTCTATTGTTGTGTGCATTCAGAGTCTTCTTCAAATTAGGGAGGGGCCATAATTTGGGGTCACATTTTTTCAAGGGAATGTAAGGAAAAAATCTTTTTTAAAAAAAAAAGCAAGGCTAAAATTACTCAGTTGAGTGTTGTGGCACAGTACATAGGCCTCTTAAGTAAGGATGAACTAAAATTGGATCAAAATTTACATAATACATATATACAGGGGATAAAAGATTCATCTCCAGAACAGCAAAACCCTTTTAGTCATACTGATTTAGAAACATCCCCATACAATGTGGATTCAACTTTAGTTAAGTGATAAACCTTTGGTTTGGGTCAAAATATGGGATCAAAATTATTCATGGGAATGAAAAGTAATAAACTTTTAAAAATCTTGTGATGAAAAATAGCAGGGCCAAGATTACTCCCGAGAGTTGTATGGCCTTTGGGCTTGTATTTATTTCTGACATGAATTTGAAAAATTTACCTTGTTTTAATGCATTTAGCATTCTACTTTCATGTCTTCAATATATAGACATTATATAGTGGTTACAGTTCCTTTAAGATATACATTGAAAATGAATTATAAGAAAAAAATGTAAAAAATGTTATTGCAAGTTTTGGTAGTGCACATATTAATATATATCTAACAGTAATATTGCATAACTTATTTATTTATTTATATAGAATACAGATATTTGATTTTCTTCACTTGTTTCTTAGTATTTTGAGCAATAAACAGATTGTCATTTGTATCTGTACACAGTCCCCAGGGTCCACTCAGTCCACAGTCTATGTAACGGAGGAACTGTCCATCCTGGTCTATGATGTGGACACAGTCATTGTTTTTATCAGCTGTAAAGATGTGACTCTGACTGTCTGTGGTGATTCCTCGTGGATTGAATGGTTTGTTCTTTGGAGCAGGAGTATGTCCAGTGTACCTGAATCTCAGTTTCCCGGCCTGATTGACCACCACTACTGCTTTAGATCCACTGTCAGACACACAGATATCCAGGTTCCTGTTCTCAGTAAGATATCTGTAATAAGGACCAGATGTATAGAGAGGTTTACCTTTATCATCAAACTGAATGCTTTGTTTCTCTGTGGAGCCAGAGTAACGGACAACTTTTGTTTGTTTGTCATCATCACTGTACAAGATAACCAGGAGGTCACCAGAGGAGGTACTACAGACTTTGTCAGGTATCCAGTTCTGTAGTCTGATTACCTCCTCTATCTTCTCATTCTTCACAATGTTCACAGTTCTATCCCAGTCATCAGTATAAACTAAATCTCCACTTTTTGTCACTGCTATGTCATATGGCTGGTACCCTGACTTGGTTGTGATTGACTTGAGTAGTGATCCCTGATTGATGCTGTAGAGTTTCATGGTTCTGTCATTTCCTCTTGTCCAGATTTCTTCAACACTCAGACAGGCCACATTGTTAAGGTATAGGAGATACCCAGTGTCTATGGTGGTGACAGTCTCTGGTTCATCAAGCAGTTGTTTGACTGGAGGAGAGGATCCAGCTTCTGGTGATTTCTGTGGTGTCTTCATGCTGTAGCCATGTTTATCTGAAGTCAAAGAACTTGATGATAAGGTTGCAAACATTTTACTTAGTTCTCCTTTTATTTTCTCTGGTATGAATTTGGGTAAAGATGGCATGATTTTATTTGGGAGATTTCTGTATATATGTACACTGGATGTTACACTAAACAGTTTAGACATGTCGTTGGTGTCTATTGCAGTTTTAGTTGAATTGATTTCATCCTTGATGTCAGACATTGTCTTGTTTATTTCATCCAGATGTTTCTGCAGAGTTTTTAACTGAGTGTTTTTGATCTCATCAACTTTAGCTTTAAGATTCTTGACAAGTTTGTCAATTTCTCTGTGCCAGTCCTCTCCAAGTTTTGTTATGGCTGTTGAGAGATCTCCATATTCCTTTTCTAACTGACTCATTCTGTTTTGTACATCAGAGGCAATGTCCTGGTAGGTTGGATAAATTGTATCATTTAATTCATTTCTTTCTTTTAAAAAAATGTCCTTCTTTTCATCTAGAACTCGCAAGATTTTAGATAATTCATGACCTAAATGTTGATTAGATTCAATGCAGCTGATGCAGACAGGAATGTCACATTGTTTACAGAACATTTTACATCGTTCTTTATTATGAGTTTTACATCCAGGGTAAAGGGGAGTGGATTTTCTGTCCTGAAATTTGACGACTTTGTGATCCTTGGATTCATCTGTTGAGATATGTTCTCCCACACAGGCCTTACACAGGTTGACCAGACACGTATCACAGTACATCTGTACCACAGCGGTCTCACACAGGTCACATCGCATCACGTCCTGGGCACTGGTACGGGTGTCCATCATTATATGTTGTGACTGAAGCATGAAAAGATTTATTTAGCATTAATAATGATTATACATTTATTGACTGGATTTGAGGACAACAAAAGTTTTTTTTTCAGAGCAGAGAATCACATTGTAGACCTGAGACCATTAAGCAGAATATGACTACAAGTCATTATATGTAAGGTTCATTCACACATTGAGCCTTTGACATAAACAAATTGTGTTCTCATGGTTAAAGCGTACAGTATTGACTTTTCAATGGTTTTAAAACAATTTTAACATTTTAAAATTCACAAAATTCTTGAGTTACTCCTATGTTTATTACCTGACTTCAGTAATGGCGGCCCTCCTGTCTATCGATCTCTGGTATGCACTCTGATCAGGTGACCCACTTACCTGTGATATCTACACTGTCAAGCATTTATACTTCCTGTTCTAGCAGGGGTTTAACAGATCGAGACCACTAGATTTTCTGACGTCAGCATAAATTTGCATGTAAATTAGCTATCTGTTTACTTTACCCACTGATGAATGAGTCGCATTGCATTGTGGGCTACTACAAGTACTCAGTTGTGTTGAAAATAAAGGGCAACTTGAATTGGCCCTTGGAAACTCATTTTCAATTCTTTTTTGAAATTTATGAAAGAAATGTTATAAATGATGTATAATCTTTCATTCCTATGCTCACATTTACAAAATTTGCTTTATGAAGCCTTATATCAGCATATAATACATCGGCCTAAACCATTGTTCAAAGAGAGGTAGGTGCTATCGTGTCGATAAAGCATTGAGTTTGTTTGTTTTTTTTTTCACGTGATATACATGAACATAGTTTTAGACAGCAGTACAAGGTGCGCAATTATTATTTAACCCCTCTGTACCATCAAAATGTTTTTATGTACATGCAAACGTCAAAGCGTAGGTACGGTATTTGAAGTAACTATTAATCATCTAAAACAACTCCAATATTAAATGTGAGCATGGAGCAGTGTCTTTGGAATATAATCTTTCAATTTCGGTCTTATAACGTAAAAAAGAAGCTCTGCGGTTTTTCCGGTGACGAAGTAAACATTATGCGGTAAACCGACGAAAACCACGTGTCGCTATTGAATCGTAAACACGTAGTAGACTGTCATGCTTTGGGACTCATGCAATTGATTGGAGAACGGGTGTGACGAAAACATCGTCACGTGTTGAAAATTGCCTTCCATATAAGGTAGTGTACCCGACCTGTTTAAACACCTCTAGGACAAAGGCAATGTTTCTGGCTTTCATATAGAATTTTTAAGTGTATTGTGAAGGTGTAATGGTACACTGTTTAAACATGTTATATTATGGAACTCTCAATCCACGAAGCCACTCTTTCTTTTTAGATTTTGACAAATGAATGTTTTTTTTCATTCTCAATGCATTTTCTATTTAAAATGTTAATGAAATAAAGATGCAAAATTTTCACCATATTAAAATTGTTCCGTAAACCTTATATTTCATGTAGTTTATTCATAATTATACACATTATTGCATTCCTATGACATTGAAATAGCTTGGCAGTAACTACAAGGTATACCTGTTTTAGAGTTATTTCCCATTGTACAGATCTATTATTAGTATTATTCAGTGTTAGAAGAAATGAAAAAAAGTTAAATTAAAATTGCTGACTGTTTCTTTTATTTATATCTTGGAGAATAAATTTCTCAAAAAAAAAAAAAAAAAACAAAAACACACACACAAAAAACGGAGATACTTTTTATGAAAAGGGGGGGGGTCATAATTTCTAGATGGCGGCGTTTCCTTCCCACAACCTTTACAACTGTTATCAGTAACTGTCATACTCTCCCAGTAAAGCTGTGGTCAATATTGATCTGTTGACTCTTTATCAACTGTCATCAGTAACTGTCATACCCTCCCAGTAAAGCTGTGGTCTGTTGACTCTTTCTCCTAAACAAAGTGTACTTGATTATTGTTAACCTCAGAAATATATACACTTTTATTGGTTTTCATGGCCTAGAGAGTTCTACAAGTAGGAAATCATTCTCAAATATTTTCACCAGGAGTGGGTTACTCTGGCTGATTAATAATTGAAAAACCCGAACGAATCAAACCTTTTTATTCTGGATAAGCTTGTCTTGCCAATGGCCTTTTTTTTTCTTTTTTAAAAAAAACCCCAAAAACTGTTCTTTGCAGTGTTTTGTTTTAAATAGATCATTTCATGTGAATTTAATAATCATCATAATTTTCTAGTTTAAATTTAAAGCACTGGAAAAGTAAATTGAGTAAAACCAATATTTTCCCAAACTTCATTTGGGGATCATAACTCCATTGTGTATACATGAGTAGGTTTAAAAAGAAAAAAAAAAGATTTCTGCAAATATTTTTCCTTTTACATCACCAAAGAAATCATAGTGGTATAGCAAATACACATATTTAGAAAAAGCTTTAAATTGCAAAACAATTTGACAATAAACAATTTTTTTTTTACTCTTAAAAGCAACAAGTCATATTTATGTAAAGGACCTAAAGGTGGTCATCTTCTTTGATAAATTTAAAGTGACCAACAGGTGATAAGTGGCAGAGAAAACAACTATGCAAAATTTTGAATTGCATTTAATTCAAATTGTGGCCCCAAAGGCTAAGGCCACAAAAGAGAAATTCAAAATTTTTTATCCTAAAAAAACAGGACCAGTGTGACTCATGTGAGTGTAGTGGCCCATGGGCCTTTTGTTACCAGTTATCTGTCTTTGCACTGGAAATCCAATGTACTTAGTTACTTTTGCACTATATTTTTAATTAAAATTGAGCATCTGTAACTAGATTTTTTTAATGCAAAACAAACTTCAGGAGGAGTACCAGCTTCAGGTTTATCTTCCATTAAAACAATTTAGTACAAAAGCCCCGTAAAATGAATTCAGAATCTGCAAACAAGTATTGTTTTGTTGTAATCTGTTAGGAGCCTGAAACGTACCTCCTCTTCATATACAGCTCACTAACATTTAAAATAATCTTAATATTTTAAAAGTAGTAAAATCTAAAATCTTAATCTTACACATGTAGTTTTCCATCTCAAAGACAATCTTACCAAGAAATGTCTTGATCAGGAAAGGGGATTAGGAATTTTGTTGCCTTAGCTATTAGCCATTTTCTGGTGTGCAGGCAAAAATGATATGGATGCTTTTCTGACTCTAGCTTAGGAGTCTGAGGCCCATGAAGCATCCCTTAAACAGATTCGGGGAGGGGGGGAGGGCTCCACAGAAATTGACAATATTAAGAATATTAGATTCTCAGATGTGCAATGTGGAGATAATGCGAAGTAATTTGACTTTGAATACTGAAAAAATTTATTGAAATTTGTTTTCTTATTGGTTGAAAAATTAATGTAGATGCCCTGGCAAAAAGCATTACATGGTAGCTTTGCCATTCTGATCAGCTGGAATCTTTTCCTTTGTATCAGAATTGTTACAGTAGTACATGTGTTGCCTTCGTTTTATCTAATTACAGTAATACCTGTGTTGTCTATGTTTGTTTTATCTAATTACAGGCTGTATCTTTGAAGGACCAGCCTCATGATAATTTCTTCTTCTACAACGGGATAGAGGGCAGTGGCTTAGTGGACAAAATCACATCATCTTGACCTCTGAACCTGAGTTTATCCTGGCCTTGTATAGTCCATTATGATAGCATGGAATACTGTCTGTCTGTATTGTAATTCATCCCATTTGTCATTTGATATTGTCAAAAAATATTAAACATATGCAAATGCAATTAAACGATATTATTCTGTATACGGCAGTATTTTATGAAAGCAAACGGAAGCAAACCTAGATATGAATTATTCATGATTGCAGTCAGGGAAGGACGACTATTGTTTGTTTGGATTACTGGGGAAATAAAATGTCCTTATTCTTGCATTCAGATGGTATCATACACGTACTATTGATAGCATTTTTAAATGTAAATTAAAAATAAAGGTTAAAGACACACATTAATTCTACAATATTGACTTTTTTTTAAGGCTTACCTGAGCCAAAGACTTAAATGAGTTAAATAACATAATACTGATAAGAGTTTGATAAATGGCTCATCTGTCTGAGGTTATGTTTTCTCAATTTCAACTTCATCTCCAGAAAGTATAGGCCTATTTCAACCAAACTTTGTACACAGAATTAATGTAATCACATTGAGATATGCAGTCATGCTTGCTTCCAAGAGGAGGTCATAATGGTAAAAGCAATACGGAGTTACGTGAATATGAAACCAACCATACTTGTACCATCAGTTAAAATGCTGGATTCCCTTGGTACTGGTTAAGATTTACATTTTTGCAAATCATGACCACCAAGGCTACAACGAGAGCAAAAGCAAGGGCATCAAAAGTTTTGTATAGGAATACATATTGGAAATCTAAAGAAAAGATTTACTAGTATTAGTCAAATATGCAAACATCCCCATAAAGTATAGAATCAAACCTTACTCCCGGGCTAGATTGTTGGTATCAAATGAGTTGCTTCCCTTTATTAGCAGACCTTTTTTGTATTCATATAAAGCAGAATTTGTCCAAAATCGTGTACGTGAAAAGAAGAAAACACTTGCTGTGGCCTTCAAAATATATCGACGACGTATTGTCAATTGACAATGGCTATTTCCATTCTCATGTCGATACGATATATCCTTGTGAGCTTGAGATAAAAGATACCACAGAGTTTGACACATCTGTTTCATATTTGGATATTTTACTTGAAAAAGACGTTAATGGTAATCTAACAACCAAGGTTTATGATAAACGTGATGACTTTAACTTTTCAATTGTCAATTTCCCTTACTTATGCAGCAATATACCTTCATCACCTGCATACGGGGTTTATATCTCTCGGTTGATTCGTTACGCAAGAGCATGCTCCACGTATGCACAATTTCTAAAACGAGGTAAATTATTGACAAACAAGTTGATGAAACAAGAATATCAGCTGTTTCGTTTAAAGTCATCATTTCGTAAGTTCTATGGTCGATACAATGACCTTGTCAGCAATTGTTAGACCATTATTTACACACTGAATTGTTGACGGATTTTTCCGTTATTTCTGGATCATGACAAGGAGCACACGGCGGGTGTGACCGGTCGGCAGGAATGCTCACTCCTCCATGGTACCTGATCCCACCTCTGAAGTTTGGAGGTCCGTGTTTGCTCTGCTCCTATTTTGTATTGTTTGATGGACTTTTGAGCCTGAATACTGTTCGTTATCTTCATATATTTCATTTCAGTCAATTGTTTAAAAAGTGAATCTCCAGAAAAAATGGCAAATTGGAGTAATGCCTGTATATATGCGAGCATCCTCATCTAATATCATGATTGGTTTAAATTCTCAGATCATGATGTCAAGTTAAGTTTACGATACCGTGAAGAAGAGATGAGTTGATACTGATTTTCAAGGTTGTGATTCCTGCAGAATTTCCAATATTTGTTCTTGCACAATTTCTTTGGTCAGGAAAGAGATTTCCTCAACAGATTTAACGTTCGGCGTTCACAAAGGGAGGACAGGATAGTAACTGCTTTTCATTATGAAGATTAGTATGTCTTAAATAGGATTTCTGATTAACTCGACATTTTTTAGTCGAGGTAAAATAGAACAGATGGGAAGGTATTTCGTGGTTTGCTGGTTAGAGTTACAAAATATTACAAAAACATTGAAAAGCGGTTGAAGTAATATCATATGATATTGTGGAAGTAAGTTCTCCAAATTGCTTTCTGTAAGTTGTACAAACCAGAATAAAAAAGAAAGTTTATAAAGTATAGTTTCATAGGATGCTATTAATATTGAATGAAGATGTTTATATTAGTAATTTATTTGTTTACTGTGCATTTCTCCCCAAAATAGACGAAGTGCAATCCACTCATCTGATTTTACTTCGGAATCCATAACATATTTAGAACTAAGCTTTATACTACTCTAAATTCACTTAATTAAATTCACTTAATTTCGTGGGGTCAAATTTTCGTGCTTTGAGGAAAAATTACTAGTTCGAGAGGATTTGATTTTGTAGATAAAGGAGGAACGTTATAAAGCAGTATATAATTTTCACATTTCGTCGTGGATAATATGAATCCGAGGGTCTCTTAATTCCTTCAAACATTTATGACTTTACAGTAAATTAAAGCCCATTGGCCTTAATGGTCACCCGTCTCTATGACTTGATTCAGTAATTGTGCTGTCTGTGTATATGATGATGACTACAATTTATAATTACAGCCCTGTAAAATGTTCTCACTCTAAACTGAACATAGATGTTAGAATTTAAATTTAAGGAGGCTGGGGGGTCAACAAATTAACCACAAATTAACCACCAGATTTAACTTAATTTTAGATATGATATCTTAAGCTGTCAACTATCATTTGGCAAAGAAAAATTTCAAAAATTTTAGTTTTAAAATTTGATCATTTTCTATATCTTCATATGGAGCTCTTCTTCTAAAGGAGATCAATATAGTCTAAAAATGGCCACAACCCCCCAGCCTCTTTAAACAGACGATTCGCCAATCGTTTCTTCGTCGATCTCTATGAGATGCGGTATTCATGAACACAGATGAACATTGATATAGTTTTAAATGAACTGCAGATAGGTGAGATACTTAATAGATTATAATTTGATAACGCACAACGGTCTAACAGTACATATATTTTAATTAGGAAAGATGCTAGAGGTAGTCTTTTTTTATTGTTCTGATATCTATATGCAGCAAAAAAGCAGCTAAAGTATTCAAAATGATTTACTTCTAAATTTCCCAATTTCCTTTGATTTTTTGGCTTAAAATGTTTTGGTCAGTACATGATGTGCTCCAAACCTATGCTATTTGAGATGTGTATATGTCGACAGCCAGACCAGAAAATCGCTGAACAAATGCATCAGTTTAAATAGCGGGTACAAAGAACTGTGGGTATCTAAAAGAAATAAAGACAGAATAAAAGAAAATGGCAGAAAAGGGAGTACAGGAATGAAAAATGTCTTGCATGAATGTAAATAATACATATCTGAGTGTTCATGATAGCATTAAACAAAAGTTTAAACTTTATTAAACAAGTGTATAAGAACTCAGGAATTAAGAATATTTATTAGAATGTTACAGAGAAGTTCCCAATCCAAAACCGAGGGGTAAGGGGATGGGGGGGGGGGGGCAAGTGTTAAAAAGTCAAAGAGGAGGAAACGGGAATGGTGACGGTGGAAAAGGTACACAAAATTATATGTAACTGTAATTATAGATACAGTGTATGTGACCTATTTCAAATGCTATTGTAATTATAGTTGAAGTGCATATGTAAGTGACCTACTTTAGATATTTAATTGTATAAGTATAGGTAAAATGTATGTGACCTATTCGGATGCTTACTCCTCCTATGCACCTGATCCCAACTCTGGAATTTCCAGGGGTCGGTGTTTTAAGCCTTCTCCGAAAATTTGTATTGTGTATAGATTTTTTGCAATCGATCACTGTTATCCTCACCTTTAAAATTTGATACCGTAGATCACTGTAATGATAGGAAAATTGTAAGTGACTTTCTTTTGATATGTAACTGTAACTATAGGTAAAATGTATTTGACCTACTTTGGTCTTACCTTGTATATACCGTATAACGGGTATTTTCTGCCGTTGTCCAATTTTTGCGGAATTTTGCGGATAGGACAAATCCGCAAAAATTACAATCGCAAAATATTTTTCAATATTCATTCAGATATTTTGTACATGCAATTATGATTAGAGGTACGTATCTCTGAGAGGGTTCTCATTAACGCAAGAACCTGCGTACTGGACGCAGCAAAATTATTTGGAATGGTTTTTAAAATCGATGGGTCCGCAGACTTATGAGTAGCCATATCCTCATTAGCGAGAAAATTCGGGTGTCATCGAAATTCGAAGATTTTAGATGTTAGGATTTACCCAAAAACATTGACTCAAAACCTTCCTGTAAATAACATCAATTAAGTTGATACAAAAATATCTTTACTTGTACCTATTTCGCAATTATTAGTCCGAACTCAAATAGCTGCAAACAACAGATGGTAGCTTTTCCTTTTTAAACACTTTTTCCAATCTTGTGTTTTATCTTGAGACCATAATTACTGCTTGTATACACAATGTAGCTTGATTGTCTCGTGAATTTCACCTAATGCAGACGACATACAGGATTAGTTACGTCTCAATGCACATGACACCTGTGATTGTTAACCGTCAACTTTGGGGTACTAGATTTTACAACTGTTTGTTTTAGCTTAAAATATAAACACCAAATTAATTTTGATGGCAGTTAACTAGAAGTGTATTTTTGAATATGGCTTGGATGCATTTATCATCATTATCTATATATATAAATATTTTAATAGATCGCATAAAACGTCTGTTAGAATAAAGATTTGTATTGTTGTTTGGGTGGACTGACACTGCATTAATTCATTTCAATTGGTACTCGAAATATTTTTTACAAAAACTAACTAAAAGATAGTAGTTTAGTTAAGCTTAATAGCTTAATACCAGTTATCATACACCTTTGATCAATATGTCTTAATGAATTTATAAAACGTAAACATGACAGCGTTCTGATAATTCATAAAGTCCAGTGCATTATCATACCCCCTAAATAAATTTTTGCGGTATAGTGCAACCGCAGAAATTGAAAACGCAGAAATTAATTTGCTACCTTTTAGTGGTTAAATCGCAAAAATTTCCAACCGCAGAAAATACCCGTTATACGGTAATACATTCGGGGGAAAGAGAAAAATGATTTTCTCTTGTTTGGTATTTTTCTTTTACAATAAGACACATGGTTTCTGCTTTGTGTTTTAGAGTGTTTCCTTTAGTCGACTACAGAGTGCGTTAGACATTGGCTGGTCCTCTCAATCGGCTTAGCGTA